GGAGGAGGAGAGAGTGTAGGTAGATGCAGCGCAAGTCTACCGGCACTATAAACCCCTGCGCAAGTCACCGTCCCTGCTCCCACCGCTGCTGCAGCTGTGGGGCACACGGTGGTCATCGTCGAAACCGACGGACGAACTGTCAGGTGGTGGTGGTGCTAGTGGTGGTGGTGGTCCTAAGAAATCTCATAAATCACACACTTTCTTCAGGTATAAAATTTAATGAAGATGCAATTCCCTACCAAATGAATGAATGGATGGATATTTTATACATGTTTTCTATGAAATATATTTATTGCATCAAAAATCAATGGGAAAAACTCATGCCACTTAAGTAGTCGTTTTTTGCAGACAATAGTTTTCGCAGGCGACCGGAAAGAAGTTCGTTCGAAAGCCCGCATCCTGCAGTACCTGATTGATTATGGGATTATGCTCCAACGTGATTACTATTACAACACTACCAGAGTAATCTTCTCAAATTGAAAATGCGTCTCAGAATTTCGGTTAACATTTCACGGGTTAGCACACCGGCGGGATGTTTCGGTCTGACGTAGTCACCTATTGACCTGTCTCACTATCGTATTCGTCTGGCCTAGCATTTACTGGGATGCAGTGCGTCGGATACGTCTCTTGCCTCTCATAACAACTTGCCAACTCACCGGCACACGCTGACGAGACCGCGCCAGCATACCCTCTGGCTGATACCCCAGGTGCACTCCTGCACAGGTGGTAACATCACCCTTGCCCCTCGGTCCGAGCAACTGTCACCAATGACCAACTCCCAGACGGCGGGCAACCAAACTCGTTAGTGGACAGGGTTCACTAACCTACGAAACACGGCTATCCAATGTCGGCCTTTTTTCACTAAGTTACAGACAGCTAAGAGGCGACCTGATACAAACATTCCATATAATGCGCGGTCAGGACTGCTGTCTCTTATCTGCTGATTCCTTTGAGTTAGCAACCACAACGAACCTCCGAGGTCATCGCCTTAAGCTACTTGTGACTGGTGCCAGGCCAGACATGGGAAAGTTTTTCTCTTCAAACAGAGTTATCGAGGCTTGGAATGCCCTGCCTGCAGATGTCGTCAAGTCCACTTCTGTCGAGGCTTTTAAGGGCAAGCTGGACCAGTATGCCATTAAACGTCATAACCTCACCTGACCGATATCGTCTTAGCATCTCGTTATAACCGTATATTAATGCCCGTATTCCAGTAACGTATGTTTTTTCTCATCCCAAGTCCGTTGAATGTGAGTGTTGACATTCAATTCGTCTCCCTCAGAAACCGAGATCACACCAATTATGCATATACTGATTACTGTACAGCGCATTTAGTAATGTTAATGTTTTTAACCCTTGGAAAATTCGTTTGTCCGACTGGTTTCTAAAAACTTCTGTAGCCGTTTGATGTTTCCATTTTCAAATTTTTAATTTAATTCGCTTCCTTGTAACAAACAGGGATTTCATATGTTCAACACCTATGTTTCCCTCAAATAAACTGAACTGAATTGGTACACATTTACCTTACCGCATAAGCGAATGCATCTTATTGTATAACTCCCACCATCCATGTTTGGTATCATTGTGTAAAATGTTCTAAGTCTATGACCCCCACTGTAAGAAGGTTAGTGGTTTAGTAAGTTTAACTTTAGTTTGTTGTTAGGCTTACTCCACACCGACATATCGCGCACGTTCCTATAGAATTTCGATGCTCGCAAAGGTGTAGTTGTGTTTCCCAGCATGAGTATACAAGACGATAATTTGCTTCTCACACAATGTTGAAAATGTCTTTAGCATGATATGCTGGACGAATTGGTTTGTTCTGGCTGTTAAAAGAGTTATTCTTTTCCTATGACTGATTCCTGCCCAGCGTTTTGCCGTCACTTAGACATTTTCTATTTTTATTTCGTGCTCGCTTTCCAAATTTAATTCGTATTTTATGTCTCATTTTCCTGAGAAGGCTTTGGACTACGCCCAAAATACATCTGCGGTTGTTAACCACACAGCATAATTTTTTCACATTGCATCATTGAGCATGTGGATATTAGGCCGTGCGAATAATTTTCGATCGTGCCAGAAATGTTTACTACTATACATTATTTGACGTACAACGGACCATTACTTGCGGCGCACAATTTATAGAGAGCGTAACCCTCTGCGAAGGGATATCCTATGCACGGATGTGTTTCCTTTTTATGAAGTATAAATATGACATAAGCTTTCACTCAATGTTGGGATAGTAAGGTCGACAAGACAGAGGTTTCAAAATCAGAAATCAGGGAGGACGGATTGGGTTAGACAAATTTTAATGCGGGGGAAGTGTGTATACGAAGGCTCTGCAGGCAGCCACGGCGAAGAGCAAGGAGACGCGCACTGCCACAGTATCCACAGATAGACCAAAGGCGGTGTGTAATGGCGCCGAAGGAATTGTTCGTGTCTGAAAAAACATGAGTAACCAAACGGTCAGCAAAATGAACATGGCGCCCACTACGAGTGATGTGTACAGGGAGCGCAGGGGAAGAGTGGGAATGGCCTGCGGTTACAGTGTCGGAGGTTGTTGGGGGGACAAGTGCAGTTCGGGGTAGCGGACATAAGGGAAGAGGGAGTGTACGGGACGGAGGGATAGGTAGTAGGGGAGGTGGAGGAGGGGATAGAGGACCACAAAGCCCATCCGTAGGAGTGTGCGAACGGTAGCTTTAAGGCGGTCCACCCTCACGACCTCCTCGCGAGTTCCGCGTTAGATGCGGATGCTCTTCGTCCCATGAGATATAAGCCGGAAGGGGCCGTCGTACGGTGGTTCCAGTAGCCGGAGTACTCGATCACATCGGAAGTAGGCGTGAGAGCATATCGCTAAGTCTTTCTCGAGATTAGACTCGGAGAAGAGTTGTCCGTCCGATTCCCCGGATCGTCTGCGGCGCGTAGAGTGGCCTTCAGCTGGAGGTGGAACCGCTCGACTATTCCATTGGCTGTCGGATGATAAACTGTAGTTTGGATACGAATACAGCTTTAAAAGGAGAGAAGAGACTGGAAGCGGTTCGATTCGAACTGGGCACCGTGGTCAGTCGTGATAGGGGATGGAGCACCGAAAATGGCAACTTAACGACTGATAGCGGCCCTGAGGACTGTTGGGGCAGTGAAATGGGGCAGAGGGATAGCTTTCGGCCACCGAGTGAATAGATCCACGCACACGCACCCGTGTCCGTGCCTTGAGAGTAGTGACGGCCGTCTTCGAAACGTCCTCTTGGACGATGGGAATTTGGTGGGAAGTACGGACTAGGTCAGTCGTCGAGAATACAGACTTACCGTATTGGGCACCGGCAAAGTCCTGAAGATGTGGAACGGGGTAGCGGTCCGAGACAGTAACTTTGTTCAGAGCCCTGTAGTCACCGCATGGCCGTCAGTCAACAGTGGCGGCCTTTGGGGCCACGTGGAGGGATGAGACCCATGGGCTTTCAGACTGACGGATGATGCACATCTGAAGCATGTGCTCGGCGGCAGCAAGGCGTGCAGGTGCGAGACGGTGAGGCCGAGAAAACACGGGAGGTCCGGTGGTCCGGATGTAGTGAACATAATCTTGGGTGGAATAGACGCGCTGATGTCGGTACGAGTGAGGTCGAGGTATTTTGCAAGGAGCTATCGAAATTGGTTCTCGGGTTCAGGGTCAAGGACGGCGAGTTAACAGGAAACGTTGAAAGGAGAGATACCCTGGACGGTGGGGTCGGTGGTCTTGTCGTGTAGACGGGAACGAAGACAGTCGACTAGATGGTCGAAGGTGGCGAGGAAGTCTGCGCTGAGAATGGCACAGGGGATGTCAACAACGACGATCCAGGAGGATGGACGCCGGAGGCCGATGTCCAGAGAGAGGGGGCAGAGGCCGAATGTGGTTATGGGCGACGTTTTGACGACATGAAGGAAGAGTCCGGGTCTGGGGTACCGAAAATCAGCTGATGTGGGCGGAAGGACACTCAGCTGCGCACGAGTGTCAAACAAGAAACGTCTGCCACTTCGAGTGTGGTGGAAATAAAACGAAGGTTGCGTATTCGTATCACGTCGGGGGCACTAATTTTCAGGACGGTATTTTTGAAAATACTGAGGTTTCCAAATCAAAAGTCAGGGAAGACGCATTGAGCCGGACGGCCTTTACTGCTGAGGAAGTGTGCATACAAAGGCTCTGAAAGCAGGCGCTTCTAGCGGTCTCTCCGGACAGGTCCTCTTGTGTCTGACGTTGAAATGCCTAGACCATTGCATGTGCGTGCGCCTTTCGCTTTGCCTCAGTGTCCGCCAGGTAATCAGAGAAAGGACCACATTAATTGCCCTCGAGCATTCAAGAGGCTAGTGACAAGCCTCGCGCGCCCCAGCAGCGGATCGACAGGGCGTGTGAGACGAATAAGATGGTGACGTGACAAAGTGGTGTAGTGCAAGGAGGCGCGGACTCACACGAGCCCATCCTTATTTATTTTTGCTGGGTCGGATTCGTATTTTTTCAAAGCATGTTTAGGACTTGCTGCTTTATTTATCGTACTGACATCGTAGGTTCCTGCTATATGAAGGCCAAGACATGCGTTTTGCCGTTATCCTATCATTGCATGCCATGGTAAAGAGTCGTTTGTCGATCATTTTACGGTATTTACTGGTCCCGTTGTGTCTTAGATGTGTCTGACGACGGCCAATAAGTCAGAAACGGCCGCTCCAGCCCCTTTTTTCTTTCTCGGTAACGCTATACTGCACGCCACAGCTGCGAGGATGTCGGCTCATCCATGCATCCACAAGCCTTCCCCGCGTGCTATCTGATAGATAATACGGCATTGAAATTTTCGCAACTTAGTCCTCTCAGAAACTAATGTTGTTACTTCGGAGTAACTCATTCAGAATAGAACGGTATAGGCTGAGTAATTTGTCAGAGGCTCTTATAAAAAAGAAATGTCTTGTGAGTATGAACTAACTCTCACAGAAATATACATTTTAGGAAATGAAGCAATTTTATTGTTCTCGATGGGGCTTTAAGGCGCAGGTGACCGGAGCGTTGACTGTACCCAAGACTTTCCCTTGATGTTGTGGGTTCGAATTCCGCCGAGGTCGCCGAGGTTTTCACAGTTGTCTCACCGCAGCTAGTTTTGGCAGAGTTAAATAAGTTGGATCCGACCAAGTCACCTGTACCAGATGAGATCCTAAGTGTACTCCTACGTCAACTGGCTGAAGAATTAGCAGAAACACCCTTTATAATCTTCCGAAAATCACTGGAAGCTGGCATCCTTCCGGACACGTGGAAGTTGGCAAATGTCGTACCCATCCAAAAGGGAGGGTCACGGCTATATCCCACTAACTGCCGGCCAGCGAGTCTGACATGCATTTGCTGCAAACTACAGGAAAAATATAGGTAAAAAATCAATTAAATCGTTCAATACCTTCTCCTGCCACATCCGTTTAGCTCAAACTGGCTTCTGTGAAAAAAATGCCTACCTCAAAAACCTACTTGCGTCGCTCGAAAATTGGTCAAAGGTCATGGATGGAGGACATCCAGTAGATGTCATTTACTTCGACTTCAGCAAGGCGTTCGGTTGCGTTCCACATAAGCGCCTCGTTCAAAAGTTGTCAGTAGCAGGGATGAAAGGAAATCTCCTGAGTTGGATTCAAGATTTCTTAAACGGTCGAAGACAAAAAAACACTGCGGGTGGCTACTGCTCAGAATGGGCGTCTTTTATAAGCGGAGTCCCACAAGGGACAGTTCTATGGTCAGTCCTATTCTTTATCTATGTAAATGACCTAGTACGGGAAGTGAAATCGGACAGAGCACGCTTTGCAGACGATCTTAAACTTTGGAGGGTGGTAAAAGATGAAGATGACGTTAAGATACTGTCTGAGGACGTAGAGAATATGCACGTATGGAGCGAAAAATGGTGCATGAAATTCAGCGCCAAAATGTGCGGTAGCGCATATAGTATCAGCAAGGCCAAGAACAAATACGCCATCACCACAGTATCTCCTAGAAAATCAACCACTCGAAACCGTGAATGTGCAAAAAGGTCACGACATATTCATCAAAGACGACGGAATCGTCGCCACGCAGCGTTCTCAAGTCGCTACGCGGGCAATGTTAGTCATGGGCGCGATACGAGAACTTTATTAATTTGAATGCAGGTGTCTTTGACAAGGTATACGGAGCATTTGTGCGTCCGCATTTGAAATATGCGGTACAGGCTTGGTACCCGTGGCTTCCGAGGGATATGGATATTCTTGAAGGTGTACAGCGACGTGCTACAAAGGCTGTTCATGAGCTAAACAATTTTGCGTACGAGCAAGGCCTGACGACCTTGAACCTCTATGCTCTCAACTACAGGCAGGATGGAGGTCACCTCATAGCAATGTTTCACTTGCTGAGAGGACTTGATCTGGATGTCGACTGGGAAACACTTTTGGAAATGGCACCAAAGCCTTATCACAGACGACACGATTACCCGCTTAAAAAGGAACTTTTCAACACAAATCAACGTTCCTCCTTTTTCTCACAGACGGCCGTTCGCCAATGGAATTCTCTGACGACGTATGTTGTTAATTCCCCTAAAATGAGTGTGTTCAAGAGACAATTGGATAATCACCTGCTACAAGGCAACCCGAACTGCCGAAGCCCGATCTAGCAGATTACTGAAATGACTATCAACATACTACTAGCACGATTTAAACAGATCCTCTTTGCTCACTATCATTGATCGATATGAAAATTCTCACAGTGCGAATCCAGGGAACAAATTTTTCTCGCAATTATTTCGGAAATGCCATACTTTTTTCGCCTTTATGTTCTACTATTGGATTTATGCACAGTAAAACTGCATGCAAAATTTTTGTTATTTAACTATTTTCCTTCATACCTGTACTGTTTAAATGGAATTTTCGGGGTTTCTGTTGTTTAATCGAAATGTACTGACCGATGCTCACAGACATAATATTTGATAGAATGACAGGAAAATCGAATCATTATTTTATGGGTTTCGGCGCGAACGCCGCCAGGATATTTGTTTGAATTATTGCATTCGATAATTAACCGAATATTTTCGTATGTTTCACAGCACGACTTTTACTGTTCCATAAATCGGAATTCAGTAAGACGTGGAAACTACAACCAAACCTCCTAATACAGGTTGCCTTGCGCTAAGTTCCGGGAAGTGCACCTATTTCTGTGTCGAAAACCTTAACCCTGACCCAAAACTCAGCCCATACACCAACCCAAGCCTCAGTCTTTCTTGAATTCACCGCGAAGCCACTAATGTTACGCAGGCCTTCTATTCTCGTGCCCTTCCCCGAGTTTACATGCCCTAAAGCTGCCATATTTTTCACAGTGACCCGATCCGTTCTTAGATGGCACGACCTATTTTAACAGAACGAAGAATTTGCGTTCAGAAATGCGTTTAACTTTCTCACTTATAGCAGCGCCTGTGGTCGCAAGCGTCTTCAGTCTCATGCTGAGTTTTGAACCGCGTTCATTCGAATCGAAGTCCTGTAGCCCATCATAGGCCTACTTAGATTCGCAGACATTGCTGGACATTTCGAGTTTTACATCTCTTGAAATTTTAATTCCGACATGTGCGATTTTGCTTACTGACATATGTTCACTCCCGCTAACGTCCATAAAGGAGTTCATTGGAGACCGTGTTCAGCGCCTCTTGGTTGATAGTCCCCATCCCCTCTGTGTTGGTGGTCAGTCGGATATATTTGCAAACGAAGACGAGAAGTTCCCAACTCCGCTGCATGTCCTCCTTCGTTGCCCTGTTTAAATCACAGTCATCCGCGATTAATTATTTGTGAACGCTGGCATTGGACACACCCGACGATGCTTTCAGGCGATGGATGTTGAAGAGTTCAGTAGCTGATGTCAACCCCGGCCACTCCACACAGCAGGTGCCTATCAGCATAGCCGAAATCATGAGACTAAATATGTTGGATGCAGCCTTGATTCCCGCCTGCGGTCACCGCGAATACTTCAGAGGCTGCCTCGTCCGCAAAATTTGCACATCACTTAAGCAAAATGCACCGGTCATCCAAATGCCGTGGCTTATGGTGTTGACGGCCTTTGGCAGGACAAAGACGGTGGTACAGAGGTTGGCCCTCACCTTCGGATACTTCTGTCGTCAGTGGGCGGTGAAGATAGTGTCGATGGTTCGGCGACTTCTATAAAATCTACATTGGATTTCCGAGAGAAGTCCCTGCTCAAAGTGCACGTGAAGACTGTTGAGTAGGACAGGAGATAAGCCGTTTCGCCGACGTCATATAGCAAGGTGCCTCCGTAATTGTCGTAGATTTGCCGGTTTCCGTTAGGCTTTCACGTGAGTCAGCTAGTTGTCGAAATCTAATCGGCAGTCAGTCATATCCAGTGGAGGGCATGTAATTGGTTTAGCCGTCGCTTACCTTGCGGTCTCCTGCTGAAATGGATTTATAGCTTCATCTTAGGGAAATAGGGATGTGTTCGGTGCGGCCGTTGGCATCGCAGATGGCCTTTGCCAGTGGTCGTGACAACGAAAGAGAACGTTGTTCAGCAGCTTGCAGCGCTGCAAGGGAAAGTGTATCCGCTTCGTAGAATGGAAGAAGAAGGGGGTTACGTTTCGCGCATGTCTGTCGGAGGAGTATGCCGTTGTGCATGCGTGAACTGATTCCGGGGTGTTCAGCACTCCGTCTCAGGCAGCGTGGTCTGTGCCAGTGCACACGTTGAATTCAATATGAAAAATCTGTATGTCTGCCCTCCACACGGTCATTAGGAGGGCATTCAGACTTTCGTAGAACTCGTACCTCATCTCTATGGGGCTATTCATTTTGAAAGCGCAGCCGACGACGGTAGAGAAGTCGTCGCTCGGTATCGGCAAGCGCAGATGCATGAGACGGTCGATGGTACCCTCAGGGGGTAGGGTGGTTGTATAACGATATAGACCTGGACGGCAAAAGCGATACCAATATCACTTCGTTTTGTCTTTAAGAGGCCGTCCAAAAAGGTGGTGTAGCCAGCATCCACCTCTGCCAGCTTACCTTGTTAGGGGAATCAGGTCTCGCTGAAGGCAGCAGTGACAACCTGGCGGGGTGCTATTTCTCGAGCGATCAATGCTGTCCTCCATTCGGACCGATTGCTCAGCAGGTTGTCTGAACAAGATCGAGCGTCTCGAGCTGTCAGATTAATCAGGATCATTTGGGTAGCCTGTAGAGTGGGACGTGCGATTTGACCATGTGAACTGTTTTGCTCTCGCATTTTGCGACCACTAGCCAAGGCCAATTGATGAGCGGCATGATTTCCCGGTATTCTTTTAGTGCAAATTTTTAATCCTTCCACTACGAGAGATCAACAGATCTGCTTACTCGTCGTAGGCTTCTGTCAAATTCAACCATGCGTTACGAACATAATTTAGTAGAAGGACGGCCCGAGTTAGTCTGAGCCGCCTGAAGGCTCGCGCTTGATCACTCGGTATGAATTTTTCAATTTGAGGAAGAATGGAACAGGAGATAAAATTGACGTGGAACACGAAAAGTAGAGCAACCCCCTATACCTGATGTCCCCATCCGGTTAAGCCGACCAATCAAAACGGCTACTGGGTCGTGGTCACTGTACAACGCAGATGCTATGACCAGTAGGTGGCCGGGTGGAGAGATCAGAACCGACACTAAGCACATTGAGCCATCTGTCGTCCCTACACGGTAGACCGCATTACTCGATAACTCATTCCTAAGGTACATACTAATTTTGATACTGTGCTTTTATTGAGTTAGAGCTAAACTGCCGCTCATTCCCCTTCCATTCATTTGTTGACATGTTTCTGTTATCTCAGCGAAACCCCCGCTTTACTAAGTTGAATATCATTCGGCCCATTTTAATTAGTGACAGTATTTGCTATAGCTGTCTTCGGGAACTCATACAAGTATGAGCCGCATTATAAATCGAACGATTGCACAATGACATTGCCAAATAGTAGCAACAATATGATGGCAGGAGGGATTATTAATTGAAGGTCATACATTATAACGAACGGAAGGGATAACGGTGTGGTTCCTATGCAGACACGACCAGCTACTGACGTGAATAGATGGCTAATTGAAGGAATTGTCATCATTTTTTCGTTGGTTTACAAACGGGATCAAGGGGTGAACCTTGAAAAGCGAGTATAGGTTTCATATTGTTTCGTCATGTTGAGTGGGGTCGTGCCATACACTGCCGTCGTTCGGAGAGTGAGCGTTGTTTCTAGGGCTGGCTAAATGATCAGGCCTTATGTTGTTAAATGGTTAATCCCTATGAGGGCTAAAAAAGGTCAGACGAATTACAAGCCCGTCTGCATGGAAGGCCGACTAACCTGAGACTCGGACACGTTGTCTTAGGCGATAAAAGGGAATCGGGAGGACTCGACTGACGCGGTGGGATCCCAGACGGACACAGCAGCTCGAGTAAGGGAAAGGTTCGATTAACTATATTGGGTCCGGGCCTTTGACGACCTTCCTTGCGTAAGTGAATATGGCCACTGTTCAACCAAAAACGATCATTGGTTTCTCATTATCCCATGCGTAACGTGATTTACTTAATCATTTTGGTGCTAATTTGTGGCTTCTGACTAATTTGTCTTCGGACTCAACCGAAGTGGAGGGAAATAAAAAAAACAGACAGAGATGGAGCTGGTTCTCGCATTTCCATAATTTTGACAAATCTGGATCATGCAGAGTCCGTCTGCACCAAAATAAAACAGCGATCGACAACCCCAAAAAACTGTAGGAATTAATCGTATGGACTTACCTACGCCACCAGAGAGCGCTATCAGCCTGTCCTTCACATGTGTATCAAGTTATAATGCAAAAACTCGGGTGAGGCGGCCAAGTAAAGATGTTACAGTGATATGGGTAAAGATTCGAGGTCCAGATATTGTATCCCGTTCATCATCCCCCGACCAGCAGGAACAGTCAACGCATTACTCTGATGATGGAAACGAGAGGGTTTCCGAAACGTCAGTACAAATATAACTCGGTCCATGAATTCGCCCCATCTTCTTCTTCGTCTTCTTCGGGGGATGATGAACGAGATGTTACAGTATATATTACGGACGCGAGCAACTTATCAACTGATCTGGATACAGCCATAAAGGCGGTCCCAGCAAAAGAGGGCAGGATGCAACCGCCAGTTTTTTCCCCGAGAGATCATGTTGTGGTACTGCATGGAGTACCTGAAGCATCTGGTGACAACCCGAAAGAGAGGGTGAAATCCGATCTGCTGACATTCCAAAACCTACTGAATGACACCCAAGAACTCGGTGAGGTAGTCGAAATCCAAAAGATCTTCCGTTTAGGGGCTTTAGTTAAAACCAACGCAGAGAAAGTGCGGCCGAGACCGGTCGTATTGGGAAACAAACTGCAAGCAGATCTCATTTGTCGCGGAAACCCAGGCTTCGAAACAATCATCGTGGAGAGTTTTTCAGCCGAGCTATCACCCAATCGAACGGACACAAATGAGGACGCTGTTAGTGGAATTGAGAAAATGTCAGAGCCAGGACGAAGTGAATCTAAAAATAGGAAACAATCAAATTTTTAAAATAGAGCGTTCCTTCTTGTGAAATCATCCGCTTCGTTCCGACAAAGTTCAGTAATTTCAAAATCGACTAGTGGACTTGATACGCCATACGAAAGATCCAGTAGTAACAATCAGTAAAAGTCACTAGCAAACAATTTCCAGAGACATAAACAAACGAATAATATAAAAATGATGTAAACAAAAGTGCAGAGTTTATTTGACAAAATGGACGAAATAAAAGTGACCGCGGCCAATTTCCAATCCGACTTGATGGCTTTAACAGAAACATAATTAAATGCGCAGATAGAAGACGCGGAAATTATGCTAGATGGTTCTCAGCGTCTCCGAATTGACCGAAACGAACGAAGGGGTGGGAGGTTGCAATATTTTAAGAGGTGGCATCGACTACGTCAGAGCTGAGCCTTCCCCATGCAGGAACATTAATTATGAAATAGTCAGTTTTTACCTGAAAGTGCCAAACCATCCAAGCCTCCATATAGCCCTGGTTTACAGACCGTCAGGCCAGCGGACGGGTGCGGACGATGCACTCATCACTGACATAAAATAAATTTGTCAAAGCAAACACATAATGCTACTTGGTGATTTCAAATGTCAAGATATCGAGTGGGAGTTGATGCATTGCCCGCGATCAGAAAACGCCTTCGAACAGTAATTTATTCAACTGATCACAATTTAGTTCCTTACCCAACATGTTAAAGTGGACACTCGATTCTGAGATGGACAGCAGCCCAGTTGTTTGGACCTCATCATCACTAGGGATGATAGTTGCATTCTCGGATTGGAACTGCACAAGCCCTTTGGCCGAAGTGACCACAGCGTTCTTGTTTGGGAGCATGGTCATTTTTCTGTACCCGAAATTCGAGCTGCTGAGGAAAGAAATGTATGGAAGGGAGATTATACCCGAATGAAAAACCTGCTACAGAAGGTGAACTGGAATGCAGCACAAGGACTTGACGCAGAAGGCGATTGGCTCTTCTTCAAGGACATGATGCAGGACTTGGTAGAAAACTGTTGCCCACGGAAGAGGAAACCTCGCACTTCCCGACCAGATTGTTTGGCGTAAAAAATAAAGAAGAACCCTAAATTGAAAATGAGACTTTTGAAAAGGTACGCCATATGTCAACAACCAGAGCATTTTACTGACTTTAAAAAACAAAAAAATGTATGTCGGAATCTGTTGAGGAGGGAACGGGCACATTTTGAGTCAAAACTTCCAAAAAATATCGCGCAAAATTTCAAAAAATTCTTTGGATACGTAAATAAGGCGAAACGCAAGCGAGACTGCATTCCCCGTCTAAAAGATCACCAGGGAAATACCTTGTCCGACAGCTCAGATAAGGTGAACCTGTTGTCCGATTTTTTCACGTCTGTGTATACCGAGGAATGGGCTTTTGATGAAATAGTTTACCCCCAAATTGGCAAATTAAGAAATAAAATTAACACGCTGGACTTCACAACAGGCACGGAAGGGAAAACTTTGCGTCAAATACAGCTCACTGAATCGCCCGGTCCGGACGACGTGCCCACAAAACGCTTGAATGAACTCTTTGGCCAACTGGCCTCTCCGTTATCCAGGATCCTCAGAAGTTTGATGGAGACCGGGTCTCTGCCTACCGACTGGAAGAAAGCAAATATAAGCCCCAAATATAAAGGTGGCGAGGGAACAGCCCCAAATAGTTTCAGGCCAGTGAGAATCACAGGCACCTGTTGTAAACTGATGGAAAAGGTAATAAAAACGGAGCTGATGCGGCATCTTGAAGGAAAACACTTCCTAAGTTTGCATCAGCATGGATTTCGAAGGGGTCGATCATGTCTCACTAACCTGCTAGTATCCATGGAGAGCTGGACGAACACAATCGACATGGATTTACTAGTCAACATCGCGTACATTGACTTCTAAAAGGCTTTTCACAGTGTTCCACACAGACGGCTTATATGTAAACTACGTCAAGTGGGTGTGAATGGAAAACCGTTGAAAGGGCGAGCGGATTTTCTTACGCGCATCCTTTCACAGTGGCGCTTCGCAGAGAAGCGTTCTGCGTTCAATCCTGTTTTTAATTTATGTGAAAGACTGCCTGGACTGCCTGAATTGCGAGCGCGTAATGTTTTTCCGATGATCTCAAACTGTGGATTTAATAGAGAAGCCGGAATACTCTGTACACTTAGAAAACAATCTGAATCGCTGGCAACTATGGTGTGATGGGTGTTGTCATAGCCTTAAGTATAACAAAGGCCAACTTATCCGATTACGATCGAGCAACAGGAGGCCGTTGTGATTTAAATCTCATTACTTTGTAGGAGGTCACCAACTCGAATTAGTCAACCAGTCAAGAGACCACGGTGTGTGGATGATATCAACTCTCAAACTATCATCTCACTGCGCCAGAGTATCAAAGAAAGGTATGGGTATCCTAGGTGCGATTAGAAGATCCTCCCTCAATTTTGACGAAGAACTTTTCGGCCGAGTATTTGGGACATTCGTTCGACCAATGTTGGAATATTCTGGTCAGGCATGGTGTGCATGGACGAAACAAGATTACACTCTGATGTTGAAAGCACAACGAAGGGTGACCAAGCTGGTCGGCGGATTAAGAAGCTTTCCTCATAAGGGACGCCTGCAAAAGCTAAAAATATGTCCTCTCTGTTATAGACGATAGAGAGGGAATATGATCATGGCTTTTAGGATCGTCAGAGGGCTAGATTGTGCTCTTCAGTTTGACGATTTCTTCGTACTAGCGCGGACGACCAATCATCGAGGGCACCAATACAAATTGAAGCTAAAATATGTCAAACTTTTTTTGCGGGACAAATCCTTCTGCCACCGGAGGGTTGAAGGATGGAACTAAATGCCGAACTAATTGCGCGAACCCTCATGGTCAATAAAGACGTGTAGGTTACAGTTCTCCATCAGAATTAGACTTGTCTACTGATATTGTCCAACTTTTTAGTTAAAATCGGAGTTTTTGCTGCCACACTCCTTTATTGGTTACTTGCCACTTTCGAGGATAGTGCTGCCAATTCCAGTTTCATTATCCTCTTCACTGCCCTTAGAATGCGCTTTCGAGACTTCTCCACCTCCCCTCACTCCTTGCTTTGAAGTTGCTGTCTCCAGTGATCTTAGGGTATAAGTGTTCGACTATTTTCCTGTCCATGGGTTTGAACACAAGCCCGTAGGAAGGGAGTGGTTAACAATTGACACCTGTGCACCTAAGATCTCTCCGTTAAGAGCCTTAAATGCCCAAGCGACCTTGAGACACTTTTGGAGCGCACTGTTCGCAATGTCTCCGACAGCCCAGAGGAGCAGTAAGCGTTTCGGCGGATCACCCAAGTATTAATGTTATTTTACTCATCCACGCGCCTGGGTAATACGATGGGATATTCTAATGATTTAGTCACTTCAATCGCGTGTATATTTTCTCAAAGCGTCCTTAATCGACAGTTCGCAATTAAAGTGTTGTCCGGCGAATGTCGTCACACTTTCACGATTTTTCTCTCATCCCCTTTAAAGAGGCGCGCAGTGAAGATTTTGCGCAATACATTACTTTTGAAAAGGATGGTGTAAAGGTCTGTTGTTTGACACGTGGTTGAGGACATTTTTGCAGGTGAACGTCCCCATTCGCTTCCCTTCCGACTATCGCACCGCTGCAAAAAACGACCCACGTTTTTTTGAAAATCTCAAGTCGCAGCTAATGCACGACCTTGTATGCGAACAGACGCAAGAAGAACTCTTGTCTTATAAAGGAACTCCTCTTAATCAGGATACTGTTTACGCTCTGGTTCATCCTACTGCTCCTCGAGTAATCATCCCTCCCTTGCAGTTTTTTCAGTTCATTTTTAATTTTTTGGCAGTCCTTATATGTTTGAGTAGCAGTTAGCTCTGTGTTCTAAATGTTTCATGTTGTCATCGCTAGATGCCAAGAGCTCCTGTTTTGTGTACCTAGTTATCGCAAACTGCCGTGATAGCATTCTACTCGTCCAGGGCTAACCGGTCGCCCGGTAGCGTGCCAGTGTTGCGACTGACTGGTTTTTTTAGCAATCCTAGCGGATACTGTCCACACGGGGACAGTAGGTTGACACGCCTTCTCAGGCGAGCTGAGGGCGTTGTACCCCGAGGTGATTTACATCGCCAGACAGAGACCTAAATTCCGGAAAAAGTGCGTGCGTACGCGCAAAGGGACCCCCAGGCGTGACGTGGAAAATGCGCTCGGGTGAGCATCAAGGTGGGAGTGTGTCAGAAAAGCTACTTTTCTCGCACAGATGGAGCACTCTCAGCCAGTCAGGTTACTACCTCTGCACCCGCAAGTCAAACAGGCTATCAAATGTCAAGTCCTGGGCGGCTAAATCCTATCAAGATGGTAGGGAGAAATGTCGCATTTTCCTCTATCACCTGCGCCTTTGCAAAAAGAACTGTGAAATTAGAACACTCAAAAGAGCAGGCGGTTAAAAGTTTATTAGTACAGCTGAGAACTCCAATACCTTACCAAGAGAAGCTGATGACTGCTCTCAGTGGGGACCTTAGCCTTTGACTAACAACTTCTCTCATGCCTTAATGTACCCTCAGCCCACTTTCTTCTTATGCCTCTACCATGATTTATCTTTCGACTCCTGTTTTTTCTCACCAGGTTTTGTCCACTTCTGAATGCGAAGAAGCCACCACATCCCAACCCTACTCCTATCTTGACGACTTTTACAATGTTGTTAGCGAATTACGTCGTGTCCGTTCGTACTATGGTAAACCCTCCACCTTGAAACTGTTCCTCTTGGTTTTGCTCTTTGTAATTTCTTTTGTTTTAAACACATGTTCTCGAAGTAATATCAGCCGCCCATCACTAGTTATTTATAGGTTGGATTTTCATAGTCGGCGTTCCTGATGGACTGCTTTTAGGCATTGAATGGAAGAACACACAGTACTAATGAAGACTGAATCATCTGAAGGGTTTTTATTGAACTTTTAACGCTGTCCTGAACTCACTTATATATTTTCACTTGATAAATGCGGTTGTCCTAGTGGCGAAGGTCGAGTCAGAAGTCCATTAGCATTCAGCTCATGATTAACCATTAATATGCAAAAAACTGACGTATCATTCTTGGGCAGACTACGAAACTACTCCGTGATCTCACTCCATATCATCCACCAAGGTTCCTCATTACTTGGTACCAAGTCACATATTCTGACAGTAATAAGCTGCGTTTCATGCCGTTGCTTCAATTAATTCAAAAGGTCTAGCCGTCTAACAAAGTGGAATCGAAGATTTCTAGCCAGACTAAGTGACTACGGTCCTCACAACTTTAATGGACTCAGTATTGTCGGAATCGGATCAGCAATGGTTGACCACCTAGCGAGTTGAAATCTAATTGGATGCAGACAGACTAGAACAGTGTAGCCCCTATGAGTATTTAGACCTATTTTGTCGTACTCTCCGACTACATGCACCACGCCTTCCCGTCACCTACTGTTTTTTATATCATGTAGAATCGAATTCTTAAGGCTCCTGTTGAACAAATACTAGTAGATTTCCCCTTGCACTCCTCTCCCTAAATCCATTCATTGATATTTAGACCTCAAAGTCCTAAAGTGTTTCCCTAGAGTTCGCTCGAAGTTGTTGAAATGAACATTTTCCATGACTTCTTTGAAGGATTTAACGAGAAACTCTACTTTGGATGGTCGTGTTTGGCCCAAAACTCTGCAACTTGTTGAAACGACCCCAATTTGCTCTTCTATTTCATATTCAAATTATCTTAACTTTGTTGTTCCAAATAACGCTTAAGATCCTTAATCGGTAGTCCAAATCGCCACTTCATGGAGTTGAGCACTGGTCACTTCTGATGACCAAATGGCAGTATTTAGTCTTGTCTACTCATCTTAAGGTACTGAAATTCATTTGAGACGGCACAGATTTGAGTACTGAAAGTGTGCATTCGTCTTTCCCCTTTGTCAGACTTACAGGTAACATGTAGCGTCTTGACCACATTTTTCCGCGCTTTTCTCCTTATTTAGGCCTCCGGCAGTTTGACGTTGCAACCTCAATTAACCGTTGTTATGGAGCCAATCTTACCATGACCGTCATATCAATCGCAGAACGTGCACAGCTCCCTTTAGAGGACAGCTTGAAAGTGAAGCCCCTGTTCGAGCGGTGGCTAAAAGACATGAGCACTGTGGAGGGTCGAAAGGTGATATTCAGCTCTGTTGACGCCACTGCGAATCCTATAGTAAGTGTGTTTGAATGTTAGAATACACTGTCTCTTAGTAATCTTACCCCCAGTTTATAGTGGACCATAAACGTTGTCCTCTTTCGTACGCATACATTTTTTGTGTCACCACACATCGCCAGTTGGTGACACACTCGAGTTGGCCGTGATCTTGACTCCGACCATCAGGACTGAGGCCAGTAACCGTCGACTTCTCCGTTTCTCCGCATATTTGAACATAAAGTGGTGTTTGGAGAATGCAACAAGTATTTTCTGATTGCCGCCATCGACCGATGCCGGAAGGAATTTCCGTTGCTGTAATAGAGGACTCGATGCACTGGGTTCTACACTGATGAGTGCTGTCGTTTCGGCGCCATAGTCTGTTATCTAATTTCTTTTCCCAGCGCAGACGGACTGATCGATGGGGGTGTTACTCAATTAAACCCATGAAGTTCGGACAAAAATGCTGGCCAGGAAGGCTCGGAATCTACATTTTTGGGTAGTCTTGAGTGTATAACATATTCAAAAAATTTCAGTTAATGTTCTCCGAAACGTAGGATACAGGTTTATGAAACCTTAGATGTCCTTCATAAAGGAAGTATAGCCGATGTCCAAATGCGTTCTGTTTCGTCCAAGGCTTGGGATGTGTTCCTCTAGTCTCCATATTACTCCTTTTATTTTTCCAATAATTGCCGCATAATCTGAAACTCAAAATAAGTTTGGATTAGAACTCATCGGTTCCATAACAACCAGAAAAGACTCTAGTTACTCTTCTTGAGATTAATTGACACGCATCCCATGTCACTAAAATGGAAATTCGGCATCTTTTGCGTTTTAGACAAAGGCCCAGCAGAGGACACTATGATCGTGCGTGAAATGCGCCTGGAGGAACGGGGGTTTCTGTCTTTCTCCTTTGCTCCCTCGTTAATGTATTTTAATAAGTCGCAAATTTTTGTTACCAAGATTGCTTTCTTCAACTACTCCGTCTTCTCTTTTGCTCCCGTTTGCGCAGGGTCCCGCCTTCTCGTTTGTTTATTTTAAACTCTAGTACAACTATATTTCAGGACACAAAGCTGGTGGCTCTACTTCGGGCCCATCATTTCGTGAATCTTCTCCAAAGGTTCTTTACCGCCGTAGCGGTTCTATTCTGCCGTTTTCTACAATGAATCCGCCAGCACATCTGGCTTATACTGCAGATTCCAAAAAACGAGCTGCATGTTTATTTATAGCGCATCAAATAGAAATTTGTTGCAAACGTAACGTTTATTTCGTGCAACCTTGACGGACTTCCACTCCCAGCTTCTGGTGCCTATTTTTTCATACAGTTGACCCTGTAGTAATTAGGGACGAGAGTAGCCTGAGAGGTTGCTAACCAAAGATACAACTCAGGCCTCGCAGTTTGTCTTGCGTTTGTATGAAGTGGCCGAATGGCGGCGACTGGGAGTCAGGGTGTAATGACTCAGTATTGCACTCTCACACGCGAGGCCCGAGCTACCTACCCCTTGTGTACGAGGTGCTTGCGTGTTGTGTGGGGAGCCAGGTCGTGTGCGTGGCACGCGCAGTCGGGCTCTGTAGCTCTGCAGCCACTGCGTCCCACTAGACCGACGCGACCCAGACAGAGGACGTGTGCCTGGAAAAAGAGAGAAAGAATAGGCTCGACTCTGGGAGCTGCGTCACCACGGCACTCAGCACAAGCTCATTATAAACAATCTGACGCGCCTAAACCCTATTAAGGCTGGCTAAGCTGTGACCTGGAAGACTGCCAACCAACTGGATAAGTTGATTCTCCTCTCGGGACGGAGGACCAGGTTGCAACGGTTCCTTGCTAACGTGGCCTTCATGACCGCACCTCTTAGTTGGCATCCGAGCCGCCTTTTCGTTGTTCTGATGAAACCGTGGTGCATTATGCGCGGACTGGGCCTCTGTGGCACTTGCGGACGGTCTGTTTACCCTTGTCCGCCCATGCGCCTGATCCCGCTTCCGGTCTTCTTGACTCTGTCTGGACACCGGACCACAGCGAGTGAGGGTAGATGCAGCACTTTTTTCCGGCACAGGTTATCCTCATTGCAGCCACTGTGTGGTTGGGCTTATGGTGGACATCGCCAGCAGCAACGGTCAAACTGTCAGCAAGAATACCCTACACGGGCTACCATTTAACAAATTGTTTACATTTAATTGTCAATGAGGATTGGGAGTACTTAGCAAATCCTGTTGCGCTAGCCTATAGGTTGTCGCCGGTTGTGAAGACGGTCCGCCACCTGTGCGTATGGGTCCACAGGGCGCGTTGATTGAGTACCAGCCCATGTCGGGACAACGAGATATGAGAATGGGTGCACTGCTCGTCATACCTGGGCCTTGTTACAATTCGTGCATGTCTACATTTAGGTCTTCAATGTATGCCTTAGCAGTACGATAAACAACTGTCTTCATAGTTGAAGCTATACCCTGGCGACGCACCCTTACATGATCTCCTTTCACTACAGTAGGAACGACAGCTTTTTCTCCGTGGTAGATGTCCTACATCGTCGAAGCCAGTCACCATATCGCAAGTTCTCATGACGCTCGCCGGTTGTACGATCATCGCGGTCATGTTGTGCATGTATTTCACGACACTCGCCCACTTATCTGAAATTGCAACCATAATGATTATGTGTGCACTGTCCAAAAACGACTTTTATCTCAGTTTTATTTACTTGGACCCTGATTTTGGGCGCGTTTTGTACTCGTACGAAGTACGAATATGATCATGCCTCATGTAGCCAACATCGTTGACATCGGAACTCGCCACACCGCTCGTGGCGGTTTACTTCAGCGGATCCGGAAAGCTCAACCGACTCTTTTATCCAGCGTCGAAGACCGAATACCGAGGGTCCAAAAATCGGATCCAAGACTCGAAGGGCCATTTGAGGCGGATTTTTAACTGACCCTTGACGCGCAACGATTCTGGACCAAAGGTAGCAATACTGCACTCGTTGGACGGACGACAGTAAAACATGAACAAGCCACCTCAGTCGTTATCCTTGGGTGGTTTGGGGTACCCTCGTGATGTCGCGGCCAGCGCGGACTATTTTGTTCAAGTTGACGGCAGTAAATTTCACTTGGGGGACAGTTCTTTGTTAATCATTGTCAAATAGTCTTCCACACGTGCAGCCCAGTATTTGCAGTCGCACATGAGGACTGACCTGACGGATGCCCGGTACACACGGGTCATTGTGCCAATGGGGATATTGGGTCGGGTCCGTAGACCTACTCTAAGGACTGCTTAAACCCGTGAGCGACGCCGACTCTGGAAGCGATGTCATCCTTACTTGGTTCATTTGGCATCAACTTCACCGTAAAGTATTTGCATATGTTCACTTTCAGATAAAGTAGTAATTAATCCTACTGCGTGTCCTCTCTTAAAGCCTCGAAACACGTTAGTCTTCCATAGGTTATGGATAAGGTTGAGGAGGCCCTGAACTCGAGACACCATTTTTATCGCCTTACGTTCGGACGTGGCGGGATACTGCTACGTCGGAGAACAGTCTTCGTTACCAAGAGCACGCCTGTCTCAGTGACCACTTCCTGAGGTCTTTGTGCAGACTAGCACACGGAGGTTAACCAATCGGAGCGTGCGAGTTAAACTTCGCCGGAACTCTTGTAGAGAGACACAAAGATAACGGAGCCCCAGCCACGTGGAACAATCTCTGCTCCCCACGTTTGCTCGAACATCTCATGATCCCAGAGTCGATACAGGACCTGTAGACTTCGGCCGGATGCTGTGCTTTCACTGTGCCTTGCTGTTGCGCAGTTCCTTTATTGTATTGAATTGAGCGCCTCTCCACCCTTATTAATATACCCGATCACAACAGACAGGACAGCAAGCCTGTGGCTCAGTGATTCGGGAGCTGGACTTCTTACCAACAGGTAACGGAATCTTGCCCCAGGGGTAACACACCTCAAGGCTGGGTATGAGTGGCTGACGACAACCAATAAAAGCAGAAATGGCCATTCCAGTCTCTCTTGTCCTTGTCGATAATGCTATTCTGCCTGTATCGAAATTACTATTTCGAGAAGGGCGGATAGGTTACATGACACTGCAAAGACTGGAGGGAACTAACGTTCCGCTGCACAGGAGGGTGGCCGCCCGGTCACCGAATTTCTCGCGCTCACGCTCGGTCTTGGCGTAGTTGTCGGTATTACAGCCACCACTCATCCCGCCAACAGAGTCGCCTGTTTCAGAGTACATATTCTCAACTTGGGGCATAATTTGATAGTTATCAAGCGTTGCCAAAGTTTAGGGCCCGTTTCGTGGAGAGTCGCCATTTCAGCCGAGTCATCTCGAGTCTATTTGTGCGCTGCGCTTTCTAACTCGGGTAGCTGCAGATGACGTCATGGGCTGTCACCCAGGTATGACTTATTCATGTCAGCATCTAGAAGCGCAACGCTCGACAACGAGAAGTTCCCCATGCCAAAAGTCGGGGAAAAATAATTACTCGGACAGTTCTTGGCTTAGCATTGAGCGTTTAAGTGAATCCGAGGTCGACGACAGCAAAATTTGTGTCACGTCATGAGTTCGCCGCTGTTGTGTCAGTGAGAGATTTGAGTATGCGCCTGAGCCATTTCCGGCCGGTGAAGACCGAAATGTCGATGGACGTCTCGCTGTCGCCAAGCCGACGAGTGAATTACACGCTGTACAAACATTCAACGGGCAAGGGTGAGTGTGTTACTGTCACCGTGCCAAGTAGTTTGTTACATGTAAAGGTCTTTACTAGAGTTTACTGTCGCCCAAGTACGCATGTCAAGTTTCTATGCGGTAGGAGTGCCTCCTTCTGTTTTATTTAACCTGTCGACCTCATTCAGCTGATGATCGCGACGCTTACCATTAATTCCCTGTTTGTCGTTAGAGTAACCCAGTGAATCAACTTGGCTGGGATATTCAAGAGTTACTTTTGAGTAGTATTGTACTAGGTAGGGGATTTATTTCGTGCAGTTTTGTTTCGGATATCTCAACAGGTCCCACTTCCAGGTAACTGGAAACGGCAATGCGTTTATTATAAAGTACGTGAAAAATTCATCGTATTCTCCTTATGATATTTGATTGAATTGCTAGCGTTAACGTTTTTATCGTAGCGCACGTGGAGAATCCTGTGCCACAAAGAAGTATTTGTCGGAGTCATCGCTTCTTTGTCATTTACTTTAGGAAGTTTATGGTAAAACGCTTTCTCGGTAAAAAAAAAAACATGCGGCAAATGGTCTGAACGCCTTAAAAGTTACGATTTTGGCATAGGAGATAAGGAACGTTCAACATAGCCTGACAAATTTAGAGGTAAATTTCTGGAAACGTTAATCGACCACGACCTACTTAAGGCAAGCTCTATGGCTAAATCATACTGCTTTGCTGTACTGTTTTAACGCCCTATATTTAGGCTCCGAGCATATAGTGATGCCCTACGTGGAGGTATATGCAAAGAACGAAACTTGAGCACCTTGTTCATCAATCTTTAAATTATATGAAAAACTCAAGATTCTTGGGTTCGGCGGTGGGGCTGACGTGAGTCCAATTTTTGATAAATGAGGAGTCCCAAGGGACTAGTCAGTGAAGACGGTTAATGGACGAGCCTTTCTGGATCTAAATGGACTATAGGCAGCTTAGAAAATAGCTGCAGCCAGCTGTCTCTTCGGGCCTGTGCGTCCGCGGTCGAGGGTCTTAGCTCTTAGGGCATGTATACGCATTTGGTCTGTTTTACCTGTATCCGTAAGCAGCCAATCAGCGATAGGTCAGTGTTGATTAGCCTTGAGTTCTCGCCAACCTGAGGTCAAGACTCGAGCGGTCACGTCAGCCAATGGAAAGGGAGCATGAGGCGGACAGAAAGGCTACATGATAAAGCGGCGGCGACCGCGGGAGCGGACTGCCGCAGACCTAGTGGACGACGCGACTGTGTCCCTGTCCACATCAGTCCCAAATTTGCAGCCCACTACGTTCATATTGACTAGAATTTAACTGTTCAGATCGAGAAGATGGGGTCTTGCGCGAGGAGCACTCTAGGTAGGAGTCGTCTCATCATGGCTCCCAATCTACGAAGGGACCGATTCACACCGTCACTTGGTAGACTTTGGATGCTTCAGCCTCTCATGCGTCGTAATGGATAAAAATGCGTTGAAACTCATTATCGCCCTCGTTTGCCTCTCATTTCCAAGCTACCAATGGTAAGTCCATTTCAGGGACTGAGGAGTGCATCAACACGCGAGTGCTTAACGAATAGTTAAACGATGTTATATTGATTTTCGTGCGCGTGCATATAACCAGATGAACCAGTGCGACAACTTTCGGTGTTAGTATGATACAGATGGGCAGGCGGGACCTGGTCATGTTGACCTGACATCTGGCAACGGTTTTCCATTTGTAAATTAGTGAATTCACATTAATCCGGCTAGGCTAATACACTCTTACAATAAATAGTTCGCGTGCGGGCAGATCAACCTCGAGCTGGCACTGCTACATTTTGACTTGATCCCACCGTCGTCCCTGCTAGGATGAGAATGAAATTGTCCAACTGCACTGAACTGAGACTGGAGTTTGCGTTTACAGTTGGAATGGGCAGTGATGCTGCGGACGGCAGTTTCGTTCTATGGTGTGGAAGTGGTTGTAGTGTGCCCTTCTCAATTTTCTTGGGCTCGAACTAGTTAAAGACACTCGATTTAATTCCGAAGGCTCCACTTGCAAGAATCTTTGTCTTATCACGGACTTAATGACCTGTGATCATTCGACTGATTTCAATTTAGACTCACGTCACCACTATCTGTGCTCCGTATGAATGGATCCCATCTCGGATAATTCACCGCGGGCCAGTAGACACGGCTAACACCGTTGACACGGGCCCGGACTCGTCACTCAGTGTACACCCACTCCTAAGGCGTTGCCCAGTCAATAATGTTGGAGCTGCGTCAGATCTGGAAATCTTTTACCGGACTATTTTAGACTGAGTGTTGGCTAACCAACTAAACAGCTTAGACTGGGCTGGGCGAAAAGCGCGTTGGGCCTTCGTATTCCCACATTGCTTTTTGCCGTTTCTTTTCACTCTCCTATATTTCGTTGGCGTTGAAGAAGGCTACCGTATTCTTGACGTACTTGCTGTCAGTTTTGCAAAAATTTCCAAAGGAATTTGGTCGCTTCCAAAGGGCTTGATTGAAATCTCCAGGTTGCGGCGATGGCGCCGCATTTATTTGCTTCGTTCTGGACACTGAAGCGACGGAACTGCGTAAATATTGTCTCAGCAGGTCCTTCTTCCTCATTGACAAATTTTGGTTGGTTCACCCACGTAGAAACATATCCAAAATTGCCGTGATATCGAGCATCCCAGTCTTCCTCAATGCCTTAATGATCGGGAGCAATTCCTACGAATTCCCGTTTAGTGCCCTCCGAAGATCGCTTAGTGGCAGGGCCAGAAATTACACTCCGAGTTTTAATGAACTGACGCCGATTTTAAATCTGCAGTGAAATATTGCGCGAATGATTTTCATGTACTTTCTCATCAATTTTAAGCCAAATAGCCACGGAGGTTTCATGTCAATCTGCTTGTTTCGCACACTGCTCCGTTGCTCATGACTATGAAGGAATTACGGGTGGATGTGGAATTTGACTTCCCATGGCTTTGTTTTTCTCATTAGATTTACTGAGCTCGTTCTTATTGTAGAATATAGGAAATCCGTCTCGTTTGCCTGGTTTTAAATTTGAAGATAAATGGAGGATATTATTTTAAGTGGTTTTTCTGCGAGACCTAACGATTTTAGTACCTGTTTTTTTGGTTGAATTTCCTTAAATACAGGCCTCTTCTCTCAGAACTGCCTGCTGCCATCTCCATTTGAGTTCTGCTAGTCTATGCCCGTTGTTAACTAATCGCACTCTGCAATTCTCATTTTGTGCATCCGATTTCTCTCTAACTGTTGTAATTTATTTTTACATCGTTAGCCCCTGGCTGAAATTCAGTCAACTTGTCTGCCAGAAGTTTTCTTAATCACAAATTGCCTCGAGACATGATGAGACCAAAAGTCACTGGTCGACGTAAGCTCTCGGCTCTTGTAAGTAAACATGGCCTAACTAAACGTAATTCAGAAGCTTTACCTAAATCTAAGTCAGATGATATTACTAGTCAGCCGTCACCCGTTGTAATTGGTCGGCAGCTTAATCTGTCTGCACTTGACCACTGCAATGACTTTCTGCTAAAGTTTGGCTCTTTGCTGACAATTCTTGGACATTTATTCGACGGGAACATCTCCGATATTCCCTCTGAAGAATGTAGGCGTCTCGACTCACTTGTTCACCTGATCGCCAGTGAATCTAGTGATAGACAGAAGCGTTCTTACAACTTCCTGCTAAAAAACGTTCCTCGATCTGCTCGGCCAATCGATGTTGCGACCAATTTCCTGTATTCATGTGGTTTCAACTACAAAATAGCCGATGCCAAACGCTTGTCCTCCCGTAGCAAAAATCCACCCATCTTAGTCAAATTATTTTCATCAATCGTGGTTGACGCAATCTTTACTCATCGAGAGCGTGTCACTGCCTACCTAGAAAAGGCAAAATTTTCCTTTGTCATTATCTTACACCTATGGAGCGTAGAATCGGGTCTCTATTCTCACGTAAACCCACTGCTTCTCAGTCTAATGCTCCCCAACTCGGTCATAATACAAGTGGCCGTCAGGATTCAGCTTCTCCTACTCCTGCGACATCTGACTCCCTCCTTCCTCTTTCTCCTACATCTCCATCTCACTCGAACCACTTGACGCATTTGTCTGCCCCTAAACTTGCAGCAGCAGCCCCATTTGTCGTTTCGTTTCCTCCGAATAGTCACGCTGAGACACATGAAAATCCGTCTACATCAGCTAGACCGATAACTTCTATTGTACAACTGGGTGCTGTAAGGTCTACAGCTAAGTCACCCGTGGCTTGGCGTCAGAACGGTGAGACTCGAAAATTGAATTAGACTCCGACCCAAAAGATAGGTAGTACAGTTCCGTTTAGGGGTAAGACGCCTTCTCTTAGATCTAACAAGTCTGTTCAGCCCAGCATGTCTACAAACCCCGCAGCTCCAATTATCTCCCCGAATAATTCTCTGTCCTGCGTACCGGTTACTTATCAAAGCCCTACTATATATCCAGCAAATAATTCATACATGAATTGCCCTAAATCATTTATGCCCCAACCTAGTTCAGGCTTCCCACCACTTAAGGCCAATTGCTCTCAGGTACGTCAACCTATCTCCTTTGACTTCCAATCTAGACCTGGTTTCCCACACTTTCATTCTTTTAGTGGACTACCCTCACCCATTAGCCCCTACTTTCCTTCTAGCCTCCCTCCTCCTCCTCCTCCTCCTCCTCCTCCCCTTCCTCCATTATTTAACTACCAACAAGTCTATCCATGTTCTAACTCCCCTAGCATTCCAATGTTTGAAAACTATATCCCCACCTCCTTTAGGTCTCATACTCAGCCTTTTCTTTCTGACTCCCCGTACGTCAATAACTCTAGACTAATTGGTACTTATTCTCCAAGCATAATTAATTCACACCTTACATATCCGCCTCCAAATTTTTAAAAATACCCCGACAATAGCATTGCCGTTCGAAACACATTAGATATTATGTTATTGAATGCCAGGTCAGTTATAAACAAGATGGCCCAAATCAGAGCCACTGCTCTGGAAATGACGCCTGATATTATATGTGTAACAGAATCTTGGACCCATTCTCTAATTCCTGACTCTGCCCTTCTCATAGATGACTTCGATTTTTACCGCCAAGACCGCACGACTAGGCGTGGGGGTGGTTGTCTTCTTTATCTTAAATCCTACCTAAAGCACTCTCCCTATTACTTGGATGTTTCCTCATTCACGGGAAACTTCTGCTTTGCATCTATTATTCTCTCGCCGCAAAGAAAGGCAATTATTGGCTGTGTCTACAATCCCCCAAATTCTTTAGCCAGTGATGATTCACAACTCTGTGAAATCTCTTAATTAATTTCGGAAGCTGCTTTCGATGTTAAAATAATCACTGGGGATTTTAACCTTCCTGAAATAGACTGGTTTTCCAATGGCTGCCCACCCAGATTCCAGCCCTTTCAAGATATTGTCAATTTTTCTAATTGGTCCCAACTGGTGCGCTCTCCAACAAGAGATAATCACATTTTAGATCTAATCTTTACCAATGACATTGCTCCTCTTTCTGTTGCTTTAAAAAAGGACCTCTTTGACAGTGACCACGCATTAATTCATTGTTGCCTACCGCTTGCCTTTTCAAAAAAGACAAGCGCCGTTCAGACTTTCATGAACTACGACTGCGTAGATAACGACTTAATAAATAACTATATGAGATCCTTGGATTGGTGTGGCTTCCTCACTTGTAGCGATGTAACCATTATTCGTGATGTCATGTCCAATGTTTCCAAGGACATTCTAGAGTTTGTGCCGCGTAGATATCCTAAGCCTAATTCTTCAGATTCCCTTGTTCCTCATTTTCTTCAGAACAGACTAAAAAAAGTTGAGGCGACAACTGTGTGACCCATCCACTGGTTCCTTATCAGTTCATCTTAGAATCACAGAGATTTTTGAGATGGCCTCAAGGATGCGCCAAGCGCGCGACAGGCAAAGAGAATCAATTGCTCTCAGTGGTTCGAACCCTGGCAAATCCGTCGCTAACAACTTCCGTCATCGGTCCTCCTCTAAGCGTGGTCATGAACTTCCACCCATGCTAAATGATAAAAAAGTCTTCCTCACCGATGACACTGACAAGGCGAAGTTGTTTAGTGCTTTCTTTGCAAAACACCTTGCTACCGAGTCCGATCCGGCCCCTTTCTTTCGATCACTTTCGGATAGGACACTGAGTACAATTGATGTCTCCTCAGATCTCATAAAGAAACACATAAGCCGTTTGAAATACTCACACTGATCAGGAAGGGACGGGATTCCGAATTCGATTATTAAACAAGCGTCCGACCTTCCTATATTGCTCAGTCATTTATTCTCGGTTTGTATTTCAAAAGGATTCTTTCCTGAGACATGGAAAACGTCAATTATCATTCCCGTTTTCAAGTGAGGATCTCGGTCCGATGTTAATAACTATCGGGGCGTGCACAAAACGCCGTCTCTAGCAAAACTTCTTGAAAGGATTATTTTCAATGAAATTCTTGACTTCTGTATAGCTAATCGGCTTCTGAGCTCTAGTCAGCATGGGGTTTTACCTGAACGATCCTGCGAAACATGCCACTTGGCTTTTCTTAATCTAATCACTTCTCTTCGTAATGAGCGGCAGTCAGTTGTTGTTATTTACTTTGATCTTAGCAAAGCCTTTGACAAGCTGCCCCATAGACGTCTTTTAGTAAAATTGGAAGCTCTCGGCATCCGGCCGCCTCTACTCGACTTCATCAGGTCCTATCTGTTCAACCGATATCAGAAAATCATGGTCGGTAATAGCTACTCGACACCCCACTCGATCACGAGTGGCTTACATCAAGGCACGGTTCTGGGTCCGCTTCCTTCTGTACATCAATTATATTTCGACTGAACTCCGAAATTTGCAAACTTTTACTTATGCCGATGACCTCAAGTGTGTTTACTCATACTCTAAGGACACCGCAAATATTTGTGTTGAAAAAATTAATGCCGATTTACTACGCTTAAGCAGATGGGGTTCGACATGGCAGATGGAGTTTTCATCATCCAAGTGTAGTTTCATGTCTTTTGGTCCTACCAAACTTCCTGGTCCCATAATTTTTCTGAATAACCCACTCTCAGAATGCCTCATTATAAAGGACCTAGGTCTAAGTTATACAAATAAGTTTGCTTTATCACCTCATGCAGATAGAATCTCTGCCAAAGCCGCGCAGATATGTGGATTCATATCGCATAATTTTTTCCTTCCGGAAATGAAGCTAAGACTGTATCAAATGTTTGTTCTTCCAGTCCTCGAATATTGCTGTCCTTCCTTCGGTTTAATGAACGCCTGCGACCGTAATAAAATCGAAAATGTTCAGAGGGTTTTCACCCGGAAACTTTTCTCTCAAGCTTCGTCCAGTATTTCTTATACTCAGAGATGTTAGCTGGCGAACATTAAGTTTTCGGTGGGTTAGAAGACTCGAAGCTGGCCTTTGCTTCCTTTTTCGCATAAACTCTAGCTCTAATCTTCCGCACATTGACACTCTCACTCCGACAGATCGGTCTTATGCCACGCGCAACTCCTCCATGATGATTCCGCCGCCTCTTAGCACTACATCTAAGCGCTCCCTCTTCTTTGCTTCCAAATATGCTTTCCTTTGGAGTAATCTTCCGCCAGAAATTAGGTCATCGCTTAAGTTACTGGTGTTCAAGTCGAAATTATGCAAACACCTTACACCCGAAAGCATAAAGGCACAGGTAACGGTCTCACTCCCGAACACTCAGCTTCTTGACTTCGAGAAGGGTCCTCCTGGGTTTTAGTGGTAGATTAAGTGGTAACTCTTAATTATATCATTAGAAACCCTTGTTTTGAATTGGTTTCTAAATCCACGGCTATCGCTCCTCCCCCATAGCGACAATTTTCGCGGTTGTTGATGTCATTTCCCGCATTATCTATCTATCTATCTATCCATTGCTTGCCCAAATAAGGCAAGTTTCAAAAGGCGATTTTGTATGGAGCAGACGACATTGAATTATTTTGCTTTACCGAGCCTATGCACCCGCAGTAATTGTCCTATATACAGACTCGCCAACCGTGCAATTACATTTACTTTTAGAAACCCGGAAATCTACTACATACTTTCTGCGAAGGCCAGGCACATATGCGATTAGATTTCGTATTAATTTTCCTTTTCGAAAATAAATTGGTGACTTGACAACATGTCTGTTCCTCCCATCCTGAAATATTGCTCTGTCTTCTTAGGTCCAGTGAATGCCTATCGCTGTCGTTCTAACAAGAAAACTGTCCAGATCTTTTATACTCGAAGACTGTTCTCTGTCTTGCTAAATCTTGTCTCCCATGCACCGGGTGATGACAAATGGCATACACTAACGATTTCCCATTATATTGACCGGTTGTTCTCCTGAAACGGTAATCTTCCTGACCTGTAATTTGTTTCTTCGTCTCGTCCAGTAGCAAAATGTTAACGCTTGTTGGGGAGCCCTCAGTCTCTCCACATAGCCTCTGGTTTCTTCGCTAGGTAAACAGTATTATTTTCATATATACCGTGTTTTGGGATGTGTAATTAGCTTCTTCGAATTCACAATGTCCTCTTCACGAGGAACGACTAGAATTTACGCATACTCATCTGTAAGGCGTCACAAACACGTGCGTGCCGGTTTATTTCTTTCGACGACCGTGTTTCACCTTTTAAGAGCCTGCAGCCTCGACCTTCCTGGCGTCATTTGCTTCTGGGTGCCTATCCCCCGATCAAAAGCCTGAAAGCATCACCCCAGTACTTAAGAGTAGAAAGCAGGCTTTTGCGAATAACTACAGGTCGCTGAATATTATCGTGTCCATCAATATGTTTGGCGACGAATATTTGTTTATTGCTTATGAGTACTGCTTACAACCCTAATGGTTTGTACATTATCAGGTCCAGATGGCGTCGTCTTGCTACACCGTAGTGCACGAGAATTGGGGGCATTGTAAGATCGAAAGAGCATGTTTTTAGACATAATCTAGTATAAGGCTTGCCAAGCGAATACACAAACATGGAGTGACCGTTAAGCTACAAAATGGGCCGCCACACACATATTTAAACCTGCCGACTGCTAGTGACAAGATCCATAGTCTTAACAAAGGCACACTATAGACGTTTAAGACCTACTCAAGCATTCATTTAAAAACAAGCCAGCAATTTATATTCTAGAGGGAACCGCGAAGTGTTCAGCTCCTTAAAAAGCCTAACCGGATAATATTGAAACCGGTACATTGTTACGTGGCTCTCGAAACAAAACAGGTTGTTTCTTTAGACACTTTATAACAAACATTCATACAGTACATTAATTTCGGAAAACTATATATTTCACGCATTTTGATTGCTATCTTATAAGTCACTGTGCACGTCGGAGTCGAATACTTTGCCCGGCGACTCCTTAAGTTCCATTGTAGATAGTGGTTTTTAAACAAAACCATTATTTGAGAATCATATTAACCCAAGTGTGAAAAACTCGGTGTCTGGGTAAGATTCGAGCCAAAGCAGTAAGTGGAGGGTTTTATTACAGCCAATGCTCTAACCACTTGAGACTCATTAGACCTAACGCAATAATTGCAATCACAGCTAGTCAATCCTTGTAATTTAAAGGAAAAGAACTCGCAATTCAGCCTGTTTAACTTTCTTTCTAATATACTCTCACCAAATTTGATCTTGGGGACTTTTCAATAAAGTAAAACCTAAAAGAGAGTTTTGCCAAACATTGAGTTTAAGTGCTTTATTTTTGACCTTAGCGACTCACACCACCACCGCCAGCGCGATGTATGAAAACTACTCTGCGCTCACACTAATGGGCTTTATTTGAATATTTACAACTTCTGTATATCACCTTTAGTTCCAAGTCCAAACGACATTTTTCTACTTTCGAAGCTTTTTTGACGTCTTTTAAATGTCACATGTGAGGGGGTCTAGGGGCTGGTGTCAGCAGGGTATATATATATGCAGCAATTGCTCCATATATGCATCAGCGGAATATTCTATTGCATTGATATGCCAATTTTTGTTGCAACATCGACAAAGCATGTTCGCTATCGGGAGATTTAGCTTATGTATGTCATTATACTTTGGATTCGTTCATTGGAAAGTGCTTTTTGATTAATTTTTGGACAAGTCTGGGCGGATTCTTCCGCTGTAATTTCACGCAACATATGCTGCGTCGTATATACGTCAAAGGTGTTCTGGATATTGTGTTTTCGTCTGGAATTTTGAGCAAATGTGCAAAATGATCCTATCTACAAAGACAGATCAGATTTCAATTTTGGAGCGTGGATTAATCCACGCGGATTATCGTTTGGAAACGGTTTGTTGCGGTTGGATATGTATAAATAATTTTCACTTCCAATAACTTTATCCAACGACGTCCAAATTTGAAGAACGGCAAAAGTCACATGTTTCAAATGTGGTACTGAGATAACCGCAGTTATATCAGTACCCAATTTGAAAAAAAGCACAGCATCCTGGATTAAGTGTAGAAAAAGTGTTCAAAAATGGCCATAAGCAGAGTGTGGTATTAATTAGTACCACACTCTGTTTATGGACATTATTAAATCCTTTTTGTACACTTAATCCAGGATGGTGTGTTTTTTTCAAAATTGTCGTAGACAACTGGACAATGTAGGGCGTCTGTTGCCTTAAGATCTGCGCATCGTGTACATAGGCAATCAGCATCTTTGGATATTTGTAGACGCAAACTATAATGAAGTCTATTAATGCAGTCAGTTTTGAGCCGAATAACTTTTTATTGTTTTGCCTTTTTGGGCGCGCATTAAAAATTATCCGTTAGAAATCCAGTTTACCTATGAGACCTTGTGTAGTTCATTGCTTTGAGAAGTAATCGCGATAGTCACGTGACGATCAAGCGAACGATTTGTTATATTTCCAAGTTTGGCGATGAATTTGGTCCGCAACACAATTGCAAGGGAAAACGCGCAAAGGACAGTGTTTATTTGCATATGTTATCCCCCAAAAAAATACCGATACTTTAAACTGTACCGTTTAACCAGACAATTACATCTAAACAACAACATGTCAGACCGCCAGGTAGCGTTTTTTGTTATTAAACTTGAAAAGGGTATTTGTTTATGTTACTAACTCCGTTTTGGGTATCGCCATTTGCAAACATGTACGAACAACCAGCTGTTTGCTAATATTATAACTAATGTTCTTGTAGGTTTCAAGTATTTCGAATGTGTAGGCATTGTTTGTTAGGTTACTTACTAAAATTTTCGAACTGATCATAAAACTTTGCTAAGCACACGCAAAGCGCGAGTGTTTGCGTTCGAGGATGAACTAGATACAAATGGCTGCAAATGGCCAGTTTGACGCTAATCGTTACTTCGCAAAGAGGCGTCCATCATTTCAGAGCATTGAATGGTTTTGCTTGTAGCTGCCACGAACGTCACTGTAATGTTAATATAACATACTACTCTTTTAATTTTTTGACTTTAAAGTTCATCGGAGTTTTGGTTTGAAAATTATCAATAAACTGACATTTTCCATGCTTTTTTTACTCTCGTATCCGTATTAGTATCGAACATGACATTTCCCACGCTGCCTTTTCTACATCCACTTTTTACACTTGACGAATCTTTATTAAGGACATTAAGTGTAACCTAGGCTAAATGCGCATGCCTTTATATTGTACGCATGCATATTTTAACCTTTGATTTCCACATCTTGCATTGTACATTACATTTGGTTGAAAAGCTATTAAGCACAAAATAAGATGTGGCTGTTTTAAAGCTAAACTCAAAGGGGTTTTGGCATTTATGATATTTAACTGCTGCATCTGCAGAAAATCAACATCTTTTTATTTAGATGAGCAGTTAGTTATCATATATTTTTCCTTGATTAATTATTGTCAGGCCAGTATATCCATATTCGGATAACGTTGAGTACAACATGTAACTGATTAGAGAAATTGGTTAAATTCTGTCTTACCAAATAAACGGGCATGGGCGTGAGGGAGAAATCATAATACGAGCACTGATTTCACAAGCAGTGTCGGCTATACATATTTATGCTACAGAGAGGAAAGCGGGAGGGTGCTAGGTGTTGCACGCGGTTAATCAGCATTTGGCGCGAGACTTATCCGACTTTATTCTCTGTGAAGAAGGTCAGCTTGCGTAGTCCGGTGGCAGTCGCCTGTGCTGTTGTTCACGTTTTCTGGGGTGATGTGGAGTGTCTTTTACCTGCTTTGGATCTGCGCCAACTCCTACGACCAGCACAACCTGCTTCACTTGAGCAAATAAATGAGTAATTGCAAATGGAAAGGGTTTAAAATAGCAACTTATCACTATCTTCTCCATGCAAAATAGGGTTTGTGGAGAATATGCAAATTAATTTTACTGAGGTTTGCGAGGCAAGCTGGTCAAAGCGTCTTCCTTAGAGCCTCTTTGCTGCGGTCATTTGAGAAGCAGTTGACTTTTTTGCAGTTAGCGTAGAGGAATTTCTGCGTTTTTCGATGGATTTTTGCGTTTCTCGATGGATTTCTTTGCGATACGTCTGCCAGTAAATATTTTTTCACGAAAAAGGTAGTGAATTCTTTTGCGTCCCTCCTAAGCGGAGTTGACGGACGAATTTTCTTTTGCGTCTTACGCTGAACAATATGCTTTGCAGGAGCACGAAACTGCTAAATGTCGTATATTGTCCACACCAGGTTTTCCGAAAAAGTTTCCTTCGGGTGGTATCTTCAGGTTTTCTGCTTAAAAAGCAGTCCTGAGGTGGAGGAAAATCCTCCTTTCTTGTTCAGTCTTTAATCCATTAAAAGGTCTGAAACTTTAGGGGTTTTGCGCCAAGACAAAAGACGACAAATTTTATAGTCGATATCAAACGATTCATCGATATTAATGACTGGCAATAAGGATGAGGGCGTGATTTAAGGTTGTTTACGTCATGCCGCAAGTAAACTTTTCAATCAGCTCGAGATCTTCATGGCGTTTATTTTGTCCGACTAGACGTGATCGAAGAAATGCGAGCATGAGATGTGTGTCCGAACGGATGGTTTTTATAATATTACCTTGTCTATAACTTCGCAGTTTGCCGTGTAATACTTGGTTACCGTAAGCCCCTACGATTTGTCATCCTTCCACTTCAAAATATAACATCGTCACATATTCGCAGACTCCGCACAAGTACATGTATATTCGATTTCGGCGTTATTTTAACTGAGTTATTTTAGATAGCCCTCACGACCTCCCTCACACGACGCGACTTTAGCAAATTCTCAAACTTTCCCTGTTACGTCCACAGCTACTGATACAATTTTGATGACTTAATAAATTGTTATTGCTGACATGTTTTACTGTTCGTCGGCGCTACTGATGGCAAAATATCCACTTCAAAATAAATTTTGCTGCGCGGCTTCCTTGGTAAGGCTGATTGCACTAAACTGTTGTGGTGTTCAATGATGAGTTACCAGAAATCGAGATACCTTATGACGATTTCGCATTTTCAGTCCAAAATGTGTGTGAATTGTAACACAATTGCGCCTGTGTTACTTACGTATTCAAAATGAAAATAAGTAGAACCCATGGATACTCAAACGGATCCTAGGGACGACTCTTAGGAATTGGCATATTTTCACGAAAAGCTTTATTCCGCGAGATTATTAACCAGTTTTTGCGCCAGGTATATTCCAACAGGCAACAAATACTGGGCAAATGTATTCACCATGTAGCAAATCTATTAAGTAAGCCAGAAAATGACAAGAGCCAATTGCCTGTGCTAAAAAAGAAGCAATATAATCGAATAATTATTTAATTTATATCGGCCTATGACTTGCCAGGGTTATCCGAACGGCCCTTGGAATGTTTAATAAATATGCTGGGAGAGTAATTGAACCCTATAAGCTAGCCTAGTTTTTGGTAACTGCTGAATACACCTATTCAAATTATTTTTGCCTCTGAAAATGATATCAATTATTTTTACGTATTTTTTGGAAGTAAATACACAATTCAGAACTGACGAGACAGGCAAATATGGTCGGTCAGCCCTATTTGGGCGTATATCTATAACGGATATGAACCAGACTCGACCATGTGCCCTAACGATAAAAACCTCCTATGCCTTGTCAAAATGCTTAAGCAAGTCTGTATAAAACGTAATGGGGTGCGATACGTATTGTGGAGGAAAACCCTCTCCAATGTGATCTGCAGCCCATTGCTTAAACCATTTTTTCTACTACTTAGGATCGACAATGATAGCTTTATAAATGAAGAGCCGAATGACTTAGTTCTTACAGCTATTTTCCGCTAGATATTCCAAAGATTATTAGACTTACAATACTAATTGGTTAAACTGACTCCCAGCATAGGAATCATCTAAAAGCACTAACAGATATTTCGCAGATTTGCTGCCGTTGCCTGATGCAGATGCGACACGTTCGCTGAGCGATGGGTCTCCACGCATTAATTTCCGAGGAAATAATACAAATCTGTTGCAAGAATTTTTTCTTGCTTCCGTGGCCTTTTAACTGAAGGTCGTGATTTTAGAATTTTGGATTCAAGCTCTCGTGTTTCTTGCTGAATCAGGAGCGATAAACTGCGCCTTGAAAGACTCCATTCATGCTCTTACATGTAACTGAGGCCTTTGTTTTTGGTAATTAGTGAAAGTTTGAAAGTTTCCTTAGATGGCTTTGCCTTCAAAAATACTTGGAAATATTCCTAGATTTTTCATCGTTGCCCACTGTTATGATGATATGCATGGTCGTTACTGAAGGTGCTCCATTAAAGTAGGCTATTCCTTCTCGAGACTTGTATTGCCCTATTTTCTGCCCTACACCTTACACATACGTCTATCCGTCTTATTGTAGCCGATATGGATGGCTTATTTGGAAAGAAATACAAAAAGTTACTGGAAGACGAGGATTGCTCGCAGGTACCATAAATTTTGCTAATTCTGGGTTTATCAAGTTTTGTGTTCTTAATATTATGCTTTGGGGCATTTTAGATCCGTTTACAATTATTACCCTTGTTGTGCTGTATTGGATCGCTCTCATATATGTGCATAAAGAAACAACATATATAGTGCATCCACACCTTAGGAAGTTCACTCGTGTCCACCAAGCACGGTTCAAATAGTTTAATTGTGTACGGATTCTTAAGACGTCTATTAGTCATTCTTTAGTACAAATCTGAATTTATTGATCGACGACCTTTTCAGGGTCCTTATGCCGATTAAATCTGTCCAAACCTTGGTATAATTCTCAGTTTTCAGTCGCGACGCTGCAGATCAATAACACTTCCAGGTGAAACGGTGAAAAGAATGCTAACTCGGAGGTTAAGGCTTAAGGTGAAAACTTAAACGATAAAACCTATTGGTTGAGTCTAATTGCTACAAACATGCCGGAAGTGCCAAATGTGTCGGTGCGTCTGTAGGTGAAACGTATTTGCGACTTACTTCTGATCGCTACGCATCAACCCGCGCAAACTCGAAACAGGATTTTCAGCGTCCTATTTTCGCCTTCATTAAAGTCAAATGGATTGGCGTATATCAGGAATTTTTGGATGGCTTGGTAATCAGAGAAGGTACATTCTCTGTAAGCAAATTTACTCAGTCTTCACTTGTCGCTAACCTCAGGAAACGGTTAAGGTTAAATATGCGAAATCAACTCTGCCGTATTCAGAATGACTTCTTGGCAGAGGGCAACGTTTGGTTGACCAGGCACCCCCATGCTTTCTGTCGGACACGCCAGTGAGAGTAAGGCGTATCTGCTCTTCTGGAATTATTAACGCAGAACTCCAGCAGATGAGGAACATTCTTCGCGAAAACGGATAGCCAGAGAGATTTGTCCTCCGAAATACTGGGAAGCGCACTGAAAAGCCTACTGCGGAAAATGAGAAAAAAGAAAGGCTTGCTTATAAGACTACCTTTTCTAGGAGATGGAGTAAGCTAACTAGTAAGACGACGTGTAAAATCGGCGATCACGAGCTCTTTCTCCACGGCGAACTTTGGCGTGGCATTCGTAAACTCCCTCACCTCTGCGTTTGGGAACTAAAGACAGACCGCCGTAGCAGCCTATGTGTATTTACTGGTTCACTTGCTCTTGCGAAGCGGGATACATTTGTCGTACAACGAAGCGCCTGGAAAATAGAATAGGGGGACACTTGCCGGCCTGGCTAAGCAGAGGTGAAAGCAAATCGATTTCGAGTTCTATTCTTGCACATAAAGTCGATACGAATAACCGAGTCGATGCCAGAGAAGGCTTTCAGGTTGTCTACCGGATACCAGCAAATCTCTCTAAAGGCCTACGCCAACGGATGCTAGCTATATCTAAGGCAGTGGCTATAAGGTTAGGGAATCCAGTGCTATGTTGTCAGAAGACGTTGAAACATGTGCTCTGTCTTCCTTGGCCAACGCCAACCCCAGGTGGTTATTGCAAGTCGCCCCAATCCCTGATGACATTGCTGAACTTACAAACACCATACACAGCCTTTGTCACCCCCTATTGCATCAAAGACCACAACACGTCGAACCCTTCACGCAGGTGAAATGGGTACGACGAGCCTTAGTAACCCCTTAAACCCTCATAAACCCCGCGAACGCCCCATATTTTCGATTTATATGCAAGTATATGGGCCTGACGATGAATCACTGAAAAAATTTTGATTGCAAACTTGACTTTACAACTCAAATAGTTTATTTCACTGACGAAACAAAGCCTAGGACCGTCCACATACGGCCACAGAAGCCTAAGCGCCTCGCGTTGGCCAGTCAGCCACAGTAAATAAGTCAGGCAGTTCAGGGCACTTTGACGCCAGGACTGACTCGTCACCCTGTACGTGCACATATATCTCGAATTCGGAACAAACAATTTGTTACCTGTTCACCATTTGTCAGTGTCTGTGGGTTTTTGGAATTTGGCACGCGCTGTTTTGACGCGAATTTGGGTAAGGGAATTAGCCGAACTACTCTCCTAATTTGTTTTGCGTCTTACGCGAGTTGCTTATATTTTAAGTCAAGAAAGTAGACCAGACTTCAAAAAGAAGTAACATAAGACCTGAAAATGTCATCAGACGTTTACTGTTTCTTTGTTATTTTTCGGACACTTAGACTTTTTTCGAGCATTATGAGGTTTCAAAAGGGATAACAATGCACAGTCTAGTGCAACCACAACAGATACAATGGGGTTATTTTGTTCAACTCCCCCTCCCCCCCATATAAAGTGGAAACAGATTAAGTGGCAAAGAATTCGGTCTTTTAGACTGCGCGATTCCTGTGCACTGGTCTTAAGACAAGTTCGCTAGAGAGCTTTTTTAACATCCTAAACTGAGTATTGGGTCTTCTAAAACTGGCTTCTGGCAAATAACATGAGGTTAACTCCAAATCGTCCAGGTGCCGACTTAATTTCGCTTTGGCCGGACACTCAATGATCGTCCTTCAATTTGCCGGTTGCTATTCTATTTGAATCCGCATTTTTGGGGTCCGAACTTCATTTAAAACCATCCAGCCCAATTCTGCATCCCGGGGTCACGGATGAATAGCCATGGTCATTGCTGCATTTACCTAAAGCCCGCAAATAGCCCACGATGAAGGAACCCGTGCCTATTGCCGCAAAACTTCACTTTGAAACACCAATTTTCTTTTTCTTTTGAGATTTTTCAATATCCTAAAATATCTATGCTAATTCCTAGACTAGTGTGAATGCGTTCTGTTCGGTGGTTACGAATGCTTCCTTCTCGTGGCCAGAACTTTAGTTTCAAATTATGGGCGGTGCACAGTATTGTCCACACTGTGCCTGTTTCGACGCTCAAAGGTGTGATTGTTATTGAAAAAGGCAAACCACTTCAAAAGTATTGTTTACAGCTCCTTTTTTAAGAATCTGGCTTATTTTCAAACTCTTGACCATGAGATGAAAAGGTTTTAGTCAGTAGCTTTCAGACGGTTGAACTATCTACTGACCACAGCTATGTACAGGAAGTTAGCTGTTTTCCTGTATGTCCACAAAGACGTAACATCTAGTTCTCTGTGTCAGGCGTTAGATGAAGAACTTTCTGCCTAATTATGCAGAAGTTACGACAACACTCAGAAATTGGCTAGTTGTGCTCTCCTAACTCGAGACTCTGCGTATTAGTGTGTTCAGTTATAACAACTAAAAGATCGGATTTTTACTAGCTCCTAGAGGTTCCCCGTGAAGCGTCCGCGGCGCCATTTCCCGGAACGGACTCCTCGGACGTTTACTCGCAAGCCCCGCCGTCGAGAGACACAAGATGCCTCCCTCCGAATCCCGCGCCCAGTGAACTGGACTTTTCCGAAGAACCGATGATTGTGGGCTCCGAATCAGTACCCCGTATGGGTGCCAAGACAAAACATGATCGAGGTAAACGCAACCGTGGCAAATATAACCGTATGCCTGTCCTCTAAGAGTCGACTACATTTCCATGCTATCCTTCAAGCTGTCTCTCCACTGGCAGTTGAATTCGTTACTGCATCCAATTCTTCCATCCTTCATGCCTTGAAGAGCTAACTAGCAAATTTGTTGTTAATCCCTGCATTTCAGTGTTACTGAAGAATAGATTCCTGTGGGCTTTTTCCGGTTTACGACAGAACTATGTAGTTGATGTCCTATTCATGTCTTATTAGAGGTAAAGGAAAACACTGTCAAAAGACATTGAAATGTGAAGGGTTTGGTTCTCTTCGAGCTTTTTAGTGCGCCAGCATATTGATTAAAGTGAAGTTCACCACTTCGTCTTTAATGGATCAGAGTAATTACTGCCAAGATATTTAACATTAGCCTGAAACCAGACAACATTTACAAGGAAACAAAAATTTCAAGAAGTTGTAAACAGGATTGCTATTTGGCGGAAAGCCTCGGATGGACAAACTAATTCCTTCACCTGCATTATGTCCCGTTATGGGGGGGGGGAAAGCCGTATTGCGCAGTCAGACGAGTTAAACTGGATGCGTTTGACAGAACCCCGTCTGATTGAAAAGCTTCCTACTTCCTAGTATCAAGGGTTTACAAATTCACTTTCGATCGCAAAATAACCGACACAGATCGCAACATCGAATAAAGTTGGAATACCGTCGTTCGAAAGACGTTGCTACAACCATGAAACCTGGTCAAAACCCGTAAAGTCCCGTCCTTCATCAGCCCTTCGCTTGTGGCTACCTTTATCCAACTTTAGAATAGTCAAACCTATGCGAGGTATATGCAAGAATAGTCGTGGTCAAGACCCTCCACTTCTTAACAAGGTCTATTCGAAGCTGTAGTTCCCATTTGTCCTGTAGACTATGCTCCTATTGTAAATTCCCGCAGCCATGCAAACAATGCCTGTGGTCTCCTCGCAAGTATTCAGCCTCATTTTTGTCTTAAGGCATGTCATTAGAGCCTAAATGTCGAGTTTTATCTGTCATGACTAGGTGGCCATTAACTTTCTGATCTCCTGTTTGTTTGGCGTGAACAAAACAATCGGACCTCTGTCCATTTCGTAGAGTAACCGCTGAAATGTGACCACAGTTGTCACATAACAGCGGCAGATAAAAGCATCTCCTTACAATATGTAGTCATTGTAACCTGGCTTTTGTAAAATTGCGGTATGCGTTTGCAAGGGGCGCGGAAGCCGAGCTCAGAAGTTGAGTGTGGCAGAAAGTACTGCATGGAGCCCGCCAATGTGTGATTGTAGCCCATCTGCAAATTGTCGCCGGTAATTACAGCACATAAAAATTACCAGGATATTAGAAAAACTGTTATGGGTTCACCAGACTTCCTCGGAACGTATAGTTGCATGGGGCCTGTTTTGCTGAATTACGTTCACAAATGTGGAGGGCAGGCTTCACGGTTTTGTTCCAAAGTCTATTAAGTGTGCACCAAATCCGACAGGGGAGATACTACGCGGTTACCGAGTTTCAAATGTTTGTTACATTTGATGACCGGAAACGTAAGTGCTCCCAAGCGCTCACCTGAATTCGATCTTATGTTTTACGTTGGTTGCGATATTCACAGTGGTTTAACTTGGAAGATCAGACGCGGCAACTCAGATTTCAACCTGCTCACCTGTAAAACAGTGGATAGACAAAGTAGATAAATTTACCTGTTAAATAAAAAGTTTATCAAGGAAGCTGATTTTATACGGTGCAATATTGCAGACATTTCGCTCCTGCCACCAGCGTTATAAAGAACGTCCTCAGATCCATACAGCTCAACAACACTGATTAATGTCGAATCTCTGGTTCTGCGTTGCCAGTATAATTTTCTACGTCAGCAAGATCATCATTGATAGTGTTCCTCAGAACTTAATTCGTATAAACGTCGTAAACTGTCTGATATCTTTTGGCTTCTTCGTCCTTGTCCGCATTTGTCAACAAGATATTTTGGCTTTGACTTTAAACTTTTGGTCACTATCTGAAAAAACACCTTCTCCTTATTAGCTAATCAGAACCTTCCTCCAGATTCTAGTTTTACCCGGATGAATATGCGGATTGCCCGGGGAGATTGCGCTAGTTTATCCCGGCCAAATATAGTAGTTAACCAATTTTCCTAGAAATTCAAATTTTTCTCGGATTGAGTCATTTATGCTGACTTTACCGTCAGTGTTGGAGGTTCATTTTAAACTTTGCGGTAGTTTGGAAGATGATGCCGCTTAAGTAACTAAGTTATTTTGAACGAGATTGAACAGACAGACTGGAGTGACTTGGTGGCCCTACCTGTAGGTCTTTTTCTCGATATGCAATCTATTCCTCCTGAGTTGTGCACCTTCAAAAATGAACTCTTGCGTCCAGCTAAAAAATTGACCAAACTCTTATTCCTAACTTGCGTTTGATGCTCCACTCTTGATCGAAAAACCAAAAAGGTAGGAAACCTGTCACTGATCCCTGTTTCATGAGAACCATTAATTTAGTGACCTTATTCGGGCCGAAGAATAGTATTTCATTATTTCAACACCTGTTTCAATGGCGGCATTTCTACCGGTGACTATACGAATTTTTATGTTTTTGTGATTCTAATTGGCAACATAACATTCGAACCCATTTAGAGCAGGAATCAAGCAGAGACATAAAGGATCACATTATTCCATCCGCTTATCGTGGCCCCAATTCTGACAAATATATCTATCTAGGCTGTTATCGAATATGTAGGGGGAATTTATAACTGGAATTTTATCGTGAAATGTTACCCAAAATACTGAAATGCGTCTTCGATTAGGAAAGAGTATTTAGGTGAGGTTACAACATTGGTCGTCATGTAGCGTTATCTCACAATATGCCAGATACGCCAGAATCTTGGCTTTTGAACGCAATGCTTTTCGGCCGGCGGCAAGGACTGTATTCAGTAACAAAATGGCAAGTTTATTAATATGAATTATTCCCGCTGATTTTAGGGGCGCCTATAAACTCAAGTCTATTTTCTAGTAAATATGCCTAAAGTGTTCTTTTTGCAATAAAATGGTAGAAAATCGCTATTACCTCAGATTTTGTGGTCAAAGAAAGGATTAGAAAAAACTTCCAATCCTCAAATTATTTTGGGCATGGGCTGTCGTCGCAGTGGAGTTTATAATTTTAAGTCTACAAGTTGTATACTTCCCATGTAAGGAAAATCTTATATTCCTCTGTGCCGTCAAGTGGATACCATAGTTGGCTCATGAAATTTTGTAATGGATGTGTACTATGTCGTATACTTCATGGAGCACATTAATAAGCGGACAGATACGAGGCTACTTGAATGCTTCCCTTAGAACGCAATCGCCACCTTGGAATAAAGCATTTTTGGTAAAGTTTCCTAAGCTCAGTCCGAAAGCTGACATGATTATTTAAGTCGAAATTCTTCAGCTTTAGCAGGATAACCGCGTGCCCTTCATTAACTGCAAACTGTAGATCAGGCGTGTATATATTTTTCATAATTCATCGCACCAGCAGCTCAGGTACACACTAGATAAAAGCCCAGACACCTGGTTCGCCGATATTCCATCGCTGAATGGCGCAGCTGTGAGGGACTCGACTCATCAGTGGGTACCCCCACATTCCCTATGTATTTTCTAGTAATTACTCCAAACTAAAAATATTGTCGTCTGTGGCCTTGAGCACATAGATATGTCTTTTCCAAGTGAAGATTTTCAATTATCTGGAACTCCTACACAAAAGCAACCCTCAAGTCTATAGTACGAGATATCGCCCCTGTGTAGCAGCAACGATGGAGGTCCTAATGGTTACAAGGACAAAAAGTAGCCGAATTTTAAGAATCACATCAAGGACTTGGAGAGGAGTTCTGTTCGTTCGATAGAATTCATTACAGAATGGCAAATCGTCGATATGTAACCCTAGCCGGTGAGCTTATGACCGAAGGATACCACAGGGGAATGAATGCGGATGTAGACCCGAAAAACCCTTAAAGGAAGAAACTAAGCGGCCGATTAAGAACCGCGACTCCATGACCATCTCCGCCACACCTGATCAAAAACCCAAATTTAGTTCATTTAAACTTGGCAATATTTAGGTTGCTCCCCACCACAGATAAATCCCTTTACGCCTGACGTTTTTGACCAAGTGTACATTAATTTTCTTTCGATTCTTGGCTGTGAAGACCATACAGTTCGAGTGTAAAGTTTAAATGGACAATGAATGCACCAACCGCTTCAGAAAATCTAGTTGCATGTGTATTTTTAAGCTCCATCTGTGTACACAGGTTTTTGCGGCTCATTTCAGAATAGCATCACAATATCCTTCGTTATCAATTAGTTTTGCATTGTATTTCACTGAATGACATAATTGTTTAGATTGACAGAAGTTCGGCATTCTGGGCTTCCCTTGTCTAAACAGTTTTGATTACAGACGTCCCTATAGACGTTATATAATTTTACGGGTCACACATGATTTCTTCAAAATTACCAGCTGGTTGCAGTCTTTCCTATTTAAACGTTTTCAAGCCGCCGTAGGATTAATTCCCTTAAAAGTCTTTAAAATATCTAGTTCTCTAAGTGACCACAATAAATTCACCCGACCACCTCTGTATCTGCTTTCACTCTTTAGGCGTTGTGGGTAATGCGTGCTTTTAGGCAGACTGTTAAAGGTGGTTGACTTCTTAGTGAAAAGTGATACTTCATCCTGATTATTTAAAATCACACTTCAGTTAAACGAAACCGTGTAGCATACGGATAAAGGATATGCTACTATTATTTAAAAATGAGGTCCTGGAGCACAAGGCTGTTTTCGCCCCAGACAATTATCGTCGGTCTTTCCAATTTTCAAGGCTGATTTCGACGTTCAGCGCCCAATTTAACGCACATAAAGCCAGACTAGATGTTCCCTCTAGGATGTTAACAAGCTTCGAAAGAGCAGAAAATAAAATGTCGCCACGTCTCTATATTCATCTCAATATTTTTTTGTTTCCTCTTCAATGGCATTTAAGAAACAATTTAAAAACTACTTTACCAAATGGAGATTTAGAAAGAAAAATAATGAAACACCTCAGCTCCACCTGTTTTAGTTTGTTTGAGGGAAATTGGATATGCAAATTTATTGAAAAAAGACGGAATGATCACTGGGGCGGTAGCTTTATTAGTCTGAACTCTTGAACTCGAACAGGAGTTCAGCATCAGAGCCTGTTAGAGTGCAACAACATGTGAATATTTCTACAGTCGTACTGTGAGGGTTTTATGTTCGTGGCTAGGTCTGGTTCGCGCCACCTGGCTCACAATGGTCTCATAGCATGGTGACGGTTTGCCCTTGGCGGCGGTGTAAGCCGCGTCACCATGTTGCGTGGGTGTAGTGCGTGATAACGCGGGGGTAAGTCGATATGTCCACTGATGGTGTTGGGGTCTGACACCCACACCTCCAACAGTTCCCCCTCGTCTTGTTGCCGGCCCGCGCCATTATCTGCAACCTGGCGAAGTCGATCACTTGGCCTTTTTGCATTGTTTAAGTGAGGACTTTAGACAGTGGATCATCTCTCCGAACAGTCCGTTTGGGTTTGAGTATTTGAGAGCTGAGGTGTCGTATTGTTCGACTTCCATAATGGCAAGGACGGTTATGGCAGTGGATTTGACAAGCTACGCCCGACTGCTCACCTGCGTCCAGCCGATCTCCCATCTTCATGATTCTGGGACGCCTGGTAGCTGACGGACGACGGTCGATGGCCGCGTCTAACTCTGCTGCGATGCTTCCTGTGGCCCCGGACACGTTCTTTGTGTAGTGTATCGGGTGCCAATTTGCTGGTGTCTCTCCCCTGCTTGTCCACCGTGGGTGCGTACACATGCAGCGGCTGGCGGCATTCTTTAGATAGCCGATCTTTGGTAATTGATTTCTGAGATGCTGTAGTTCTTGTACTCTTCCTTCGGGCTCGCCACAGTGCGTTTTACCCGGTCTAAGAGCGACCTAACACAGCCCCTTTGTGTACCATTGGGGGGTTTCTATGACAGTCGAGGACCTCTTTTTGTTAGCCGCCTTTCTATACACCGCAATATTGAGTTTACCATCAGGCCTGCTCGTGACGGCCACGTCAGGGGAGGGTAATTTCTCGCCTTCCTCTTCTCTTATAAAATGAATGTCGGGAAAGATGCCGTTAAGCGGACCTTGAAAAGCCGATATCCTGTCCCTCTCGATAGCGACGAATGTATCGTCTGCGTATCGGCGCTAAAACGCAGGTTCGCAGTGTTCAAAAGCGGCCTTTTTCAGCTCTTGTAGGGCAAGTTCCGCAGCTAGACTGGATAGTGGGGAGCCTATGGATGTTGCCTCGATTTCTTCGTATGTTCCGCCATTGAAGACGCATTGACTTACCCTGTGTTATCACGGACTTCGCCCACGCAGCCAAAAGACGCGGCTTAAACTGCCGCCAAGGTCAAACGCCGTCACCATGCTGAGACCATTGTGGGCCAGACGTTGCGAACCAGACCTATCCACGGACGTAACCCTCCCCCCCGCCTACCCCCACGACACGAACGTATAAATGTTTACTTGTTGTTGCACTTTACTAGTCTCTGATGACGAACTCCTGTTTAAGCTCGAGAGTTCAGGCTTATAAAGCTACCGTCCCAGTGATTGCGCCTCTGTCTTTTTTTAAACAAGAACTTGAGATGCGCATATCCTCTTCAGTCACGCAAATCTATACACGCAATTTGTTGCAATCATTGGAGATACATTAAAAAGGTAAGAGCAAACACGTACAGAAAAAAACTTAAGAAGCTTACATATGAACGAAATTTTTCAATGTTGGCATCGCCGGCTGTTATATAATCACTCTGGAATGGGCGCTCACCAATCCCTCGGCTTGCCGAAACAAACAAGCTTCGTATGGTGATAGGGGTCACGAACCGGCAACCACCTACAAGGCCGATGTCGGCCAAACCATGAGAGCAGACAGAAGAGAACAGAGTCTAGGAGTAGACCGACACAAAACTGTTTCGGACTTGTTGGTTTGCATATATATGGATAGGCAGAAAATATTACCGACAAAAACAAGGGAGACTGGAATGGCCATTTCTGGCTTACTAGCCGTCGTCAGCCAGTCATACCCAACCGCGAAGTGTGGCGCACCCGAGGCTTGAACTCGCGACCTGTTGGTTTAGAAGTCCACGCCTCTACTCACCGGGCCACGAGCCCGTTGCCCTGTCGGTTTTCGATCGGGAATATACAATGGTAGGGGGCGCTCACCGAACGTTCTTACGGAACTCACTCCTTCCGTTGTGCCTTATGGACTCTCTCTCGAGCCCAACCAGCAGCCGCACAGCGGCGCATGATAAAGGCAGATATGATATTACCGACAAAGACAAGGGAGACTGGAATCCGGAATAAGCGCACCCCGATCTATTGGCTTCACGAAGCAAACAAGTTCCGTAAGGGTGGCAAAGGTCGCGAACAGGCAACCAATTACCAGGCCGAAGTCAACCATGTCATAACATTAGCGAGAATATATCTATATGCATTCCGAATGGCAGAGAAATCGCGCGGCCCAGGTTATTGTATAGAAGAGGATGGGAAGGCGATCATTGGAACTAATTTTCTACTTATCCGACTTTTCAAGCTCTCACGCAGGCCAATCGCCGAGGACTGAGAGGACTGTGCAACTTATCGCATTATTGCTCACCTCTGCCAGGGATGACCTCCAGTTGCGCTGCCGATTTGTCCACGCAGTGCTTTATAAGCGATTGGCAGGTCGATGCGCCGATGTACAATTTTTTATTCTTTGTCGATGGGTTCGCGTGAGAGTCCGAAACATCGGATAAGTAAGCAAGTGGTCCCAACGATCGCCTTCCCGCCCTCGCTAATATATACGTACATACAGTGCGTGTATTACGTATAGTACGTAGGCAGTTCACTAAATATGCAACAGGTCAGACGCTCACTTGGCATATGTAAACATGTATCGTGTCCGTTATCTTCCGACGAAAGTAAAGAAGACCTGCAAGTCCATAGACCGAATTGGATATGTACTGCTATTTCGGAAACAAGAAACTTCCTAATAAGATATCTGAACTCCGAATGTTTACTCAAACGCATATATAAAATACATAAACACCTCACTATGAGTGCAACAGGCCAGATGCAGACAGCTGTTTTACGTTCGTTGCCGATTATCAGTACGTCATAGGCCACATGAAGTGAGGTATATAAACATGTCAAGTAAGCGTTCGACCCTCACTGTTGTGGTTAGGATCTCACTCGATCCCATTTTGTCCGCCCCCCTGTTTGCTACTGACGACAACGAACGTTGTGTCATAGGACACGTACCACATATAACACATAAGCAGTTCACTAGGAGTGCAACAGGTCAGATGCAGACAGCTGTTTCATGGTCGTTGCCGATCATCAGTGCATCATTGGCTATGTCAAGAAAGGTAAATAAACTGCTTACGTAATATATATTGTGTGTGTCTTGTAACACAACGTCAACTGTCGCCAGAAAAAACCTGGCGGGGGGACAGAATGGGGTCGAGCAAGATCTTAACCACAACAGTGAGGAGCACTCGCTTACTTGTCATATAATTATCTGTACCCATACATCGTTTTCATTATCTCCCGAAGAAGGCAAAGAAGAACTGCGAGTCCATGACCCAAATTGCATTCGTACTGACACTTCGGAAAAGTGAATGTTCCCAATAAGATACCTGAACCTCGAATGATTACGCAAACGTATAAATATGCAGGAATTAAGGTAGTGCGTAGTAAAATAGACAGTTTAAGCATAAGTATTCTACTGAGGAGCAAGTACAATATCAAGTGTCAATTACAGTGACAGTAATCGTGTGACAACACTGGTCAAAATTAAATAAGTAGACTTCCCGAAAACTAGGAGCTATTCGTAAAGGACCCAGTCGTCTAAGGAGTGGAGGATCTTTCAGCAAGGACAAAGCAAATAAAAGATTCTTGAAGTCGCTTCCTTTATCGGATATGCTCTCCTTCCCTCTTTTTTGTGATCCTTGAGGTGTTTCTATTCCTCATTCCAATGGTATGTTTCCCTAGGCATACTCATAGATCCATTCTATGCGGGCATAATGAAGCTGCAGGAGGAAATTCTCAGTCCCGGTGGAGTCGAGATACGCGCCTATGCATCCAATTTGCTTTCAGATGTCGCCTTTGTGGAAGTGGATGGCAGTCTTTGGTGAGTGAAAACAAAGCGTTTTATCGCCGACATTGTTGTACACCAGCTGTAGGGTTTAGCGTTAAGGATTTTTTCGCTAGAGTGCACGTTTTATTGCAACAGACAGTACCCTTGTCAAGCCTTAGACGGTCTGTTTATCTCATATCCCCTGCTTCTAAGAGCCAATGCTGCCGCCGCTGCATAGGTTCAAATGACATCTTTATTCCTCTTACCTGTGCATATGCAGGTAAACACTTTATCATGACTGAAGAACGGAATATGACCCTCAAAACTTCATTCTAAGGTTCTCGGTTATACTCGGTCTCGGTTTGGGTTGGGTTTTACTGACAATGCTAGTTCAGAACTCATTATTCCGATCTACCTCCCCCTTAGCGGTAATACTTCCCGAAATCTGTATTAATTTTAATTGCTGGACAGTGGCTGCCAGTCAAGTGGCTATTTTAAGACTTTTCATCAGCCCCCTTGGCAGAGACGAACTTTTATATGCTCCAACGAGAGCAAGTGTAAGCCCGGAATGTGACCTTACACTGGGTGCGCCCGAATGTGTTTTCGAAGCCCACACTTTTTTTCCTTCTCCCTGAAAGTCTGGCCCACTTTCAAGGATTGTGGGATATTCCCGGCATTTCGTATTTACTCCTGTCAGATGTCTGCCCCGCTGTTAGACGATCGTGCCGAGTCTCTAGAACTGAAAATGAAAGATCGAGTAAAGCACTTGTTTAAGTTGATCATCAGAACAGTTTTGGTCGCCAGGCAGAGCCTCGTGCGGCCGCGATGGCATGACTGCAGAAAAGGTTATATGTCAGAAGAATATCACCCTGCTAGGAACCCTGTGTCTTCGGGATTCTTGTTTTGAACCGCGCGCCCGCTGCGATCACCTAATGGAAACAATATGAAAGTAGCTTGTTAGTCTTTTTCTGATCTTAGTGCCTCAGTAGGTCTTTTGTTCCGCCTTTACTGAGGATGGACATAAATATGACCTAGTTTCCGTCAATGGACATCCTATCATCTCTCAATGCTTGTTTAATTATTCCATGTCGTCATAGAATATGCCGACTTTAGTCGTATTGAACCCTGGTCAAAACTGTTCTGGGATTGACTTCTTCTCTGTGTAACCTCGTGGACGATCGTTTACAATAACTGCCCTTCTTGTTTATTTCGCTGCAAATGTAGCAGCGGCTAGATTTATGTCTCTTGGACCTATTAACAAGTGCCTCGGATAGGTTTTAAATCTCATGGTAGCTGTTCGTAGGTCGTTCGGGTCTGCACCTAGCAGTCCTTAAACAATGCAGTCTTTAAACACATTCCTCTTCTGTTAAATGGGAGGCTAGACACAGAAGCTAAAGCGCAATACTATGCTGAGATTGCAAATTGGGCACTGAGTGTTTCACGCATTGAATTTGCAAAGGAAAAGTGAAAGTCATAAACTCGGTTGTGCCGAAATAAACTGCAGTCATTGAACGCGTATTCGGTTAATCGATTTTTAGGTAGAAGGTGGAAAAGAAATATAGAGCAGAAAATAGTACTGAGTTGGAAAATTCGTAAGTGAGAGCATAGAGAAACTACACAGTTTCCAGTAACTTGCTAAAAAGAAAAACATTTGCAGTGGCCAGTGAAGACTGTCGATATTTCTGTAAGGCATGTCAGAGGAACCGATAAAGACTTAATTTGACGTTTTCACGGCTTTTGGTCCTCAACCACGGTTAAGGTTCGTGAGTGCGTTCTTATGGAGGCTTCGAGCGCTTTGGAGTCCTCGGGTTAGTACGATATCTGATCACCAGGTACAAGTGAGAGGGTACCATAGGCTGAAGATCGTTTAAGTATGCAGAAGGTGGGCTAAATCATGAAATGTCAACGGAAATTCCGAAATGCGCTTTCGTTTCGAAAAGAGTAATTAAGTATGGTTGTAATACTAGTCAGACTGCAACATAATTCTATAATATGTTAGTTACCTCAGGATGTCGGCTTTCGAATGAACTTCCCGTCGGCTGCATGCAAAAACTACACTCTGTAAAAACTGGCTACTTAAGTAGCGTTAATTTTTCCCACTGATTGTCGATGCTCATAAAAGTCCATTTATATTTCATGCAAAACATGCATATAATATTCATTTTTTGCTCATTCGGTAGAAAATTACGTCTTCCTTCAATTTAACACCTGAAGAAGGGACTTAATCCGGTTTTGAAAGGTGAGACTTTAAATACCGTGAAATGGCTGTTGATGAATCGTCATGTCTCTATTTACCAATGTGGCTAGTAAAGTTAACAATATGGATCAAATTCACTGCTAAATTCTATGGACATTATATGGTCCCCCTTTGTTACCGTAGAGAAATGTGCGGTTTTCCGTACGCGGAAAATATACGGCTTGTAGTTTGGAAGCCCTGGATGCAAGTGTAACGGCAGATCGGGTTCAAAATTCTTCTAGAATTAGATGAGCTTTTGAAAACCGAATCATACCCTTCCGTCGAGTATAAGATTGTAAAAAGACATAATTGTCTACCGAATGAGCAAAAGAATGAATATTTAATGCATGTTTTGCATGAAATATAATCGGACTTTTAGGAGCATCGACAATCAATGGGAAAAATTCATGCTAATTAAGTAGCCATTTTTGCAGAGCATTATTTTTGCATCCAGCCGACAGGAAGTTCATTCGAAAGCCGGCCTCCTGAGGTAACTGAAATACTATAGAATTATGTTGGAGGCTGACTAGTTTTACAACTTTACTTAATTATTTGTTTCAAACGAAAGCGCATTTCGGAATTTCGGTTGACATTTCATGAGTTAACCCACCTACTGTATGTTTGGATTATGTTAAATAAAACAGTAGTATTGGCATGGTCAGACGGATGGCAGTGGTCCATTCTTGCTTTTTGCCGTCCCCAGCCAGCTGCGTCCCGCTTCACGTCAGGAGAGTCTGCAAGAACTTTAGACTGCGACTGCGTCTTAAAAGGAAGGACTGCTTTACGTTCTGTAACCGAACCAACTCGATGGACAACAGGTTTCTGGTACTCGGAATATTAGGCGCAGCAAGGCCCTGGAGACCTGTCATTGAGAACTGCTGTACAGCGGTGGGGTGGCAATCTTTCGCTCAACATGGGTTGATCTTGGTCAAGTCAAGTTGCCAGTACAACCTAACCTACGAGAAGCGACATGATTTTGGACAAATAAGAGTTGATGCTGCTGGCAGCCAACGGTATGAACGCGCGTAACAGTACGTCCACTGCGAGCGACGACAACCACCATGGGCCCCAAGGGGTGGGTGCAGCGCTGGAGACTTGTGCGTAAATTCGTTTACGATGGAGAAAACTTGCGCAACATCCACCACACTCTTTCGTTCCTCATGCGCTTTTCACCGATGGTAAAATGATTTCAGAACGACCGGGGCTGGGCGCGAATTCAGTACCTGACAAAGGTAAACAGCCCGTCTACCTGTGTCACACACGACCTGATCACCGGTGAATGTGCCAGGATTCACAGGAGACGACTCTGATCTCAAGCACCTACTAGTGCTACAGAAGCCTTAGTACAGATTTGCTTATGAAGCCCCACCTGAAGTAAACGAAACCCAACCGCCTGTAAAACGGGACCGGTGGTAATAGGGGGTTTTACAAGTGGGACCGGGGGACGCACAAGCGACGAGGTCAAGTAGTCGTATGCAAAAGAAAAGCTATTTGGAATGCGCGGTTGCACTTTGAGTGGTTGAGAAATAGCTGCCATAACCCCTAACCCTAACACTAACCTTGGACCCCAAGCCTTAACTCTAACCCCTAGCCGTAACCCCTAACCCCAACCTCAAAGGTATTGTGTCCATCAGGTGGGGCTTCATAACCACATCTTACCAAGCTTTATTAAAAAGTATTCATTGAGCCGGACTCTCAGTCCTCCAGCCAGTCACCTCGCATACATACGCAGTACTGACCACGCGGACCGAATTATATCGTCAGTTTGCAACCTTTCATGCCACGAATTTTAGCGCGTAGTGGCAGATGAATGTGCGCCAAATTTATCAAAGTTGGAAATGTGCTGATTTATCATGGAGATGGATTCCCAAAGGTCAAACTCACTAGCCCTCTCTCTCTTCCTTCTCTCATACCCCAGTCGACTGTTCAACTCTGTTAACCGGATGGCGCCGAAGTTGGGTACAGTGGCTTGCAGAGCTGGATAGCTCGTCTACATGTGCTCCAGGCCACTCAATCGCTTCATTTAACAAGACACATCACGTGCATCAAACCCGCACAGAGGCTAAGCACGATATAGAATTTAAAAAGTGCAAATGAGATAGGTGAAGTCGCCAGGCAAAGATTAAGAAAACACGACTCGAGGGGTCATTTTAATAATTACGCTTAACGCAGACTGTACGGCATCCTTGGGAACATTACAACAGACCTTTAATCATGTGGAGTTGTTCAATGCCCTAGCTTTCATTGTGGCTGTGCTTTTCGTGTCTATTTCAACTCACTATAAGAATCTATAAGGCAGACTTTCGGCTGAAATTGTCACAGCGTCTTGGGTCGAATGTGATTATGTAGCCCCACCTGAAGTAAACAAACCCCAGTCTCCTCTAACAGGGGGACGGTAGTAAAAGGGGTTTTTTACAGGTGGAGCCGGGGAACGGACAGGCGACGAGGTCGAGTAGCCGTATGCAAAAGAACAGCTATTGGGAATGCTCGGTTGCACTTTGAATGCTTGAGGATTAATTGGGCTAACCCCTAACCCCTTAACTATAACCCATAGTCCTAAACCCTAACCCTTAATTCCAACCCCTAACCATAAGCCCTTACACTAACCCTTAACATCAACCCAACAGTATTGTGCCCATCAGGTGAAGCTACCAAACTACATTTTACCGCGTCTGGTTAAAGCAAGCCTTCAACAGACTGGAGAGCAGCGTTGCAAAATTAGATGTCGTGGCTCGGTTTTATATGGTACACGAGTCGGACGTCCCAAGAAAGAAAAGGCAGCACGGTAATGTCCTGATATCACCGGGAGGCGCAAGAATCTGCCGGAGTTAATATTCGGGCCCAAACTGTGAAGAAGTAATAGAGCGTTTCAAACATAAAATTATTAAGCACCGTACTGAAGGGTGGAATAAGACGAAACAGGACTGCTGCAGGTGACCTCTAGGGGGTATGTTCCGAATTAATCTAACGGGTAAAGCCCCACTTACTCGGCCTGTTAGATAGCCCCGCATAACTGAGCTCTGTGGTAAAGTGAGTCCATTACAGCGGCCGACCAAACTGCCGGATTTTCCGTAATCTCTTATCTACCCGCCTGTTTGTGTTTGAGAAATTTTGCTTCAGTTTGGCAAGAGATTTCCGCATGCGTACAATTCGTAGCTAATAGGTGGATGTGATGTCCGTTATCCATACGAGCTTTTACTCCCTTACAGAATGTGTTTTGGTGACCATCAAACCCAGAATTAATGCCATAGAGAGACCTAGCAAGTGACCTCATTCGGCACATATTTCGGTCAGCCTGTCAGGTTGCGGATCACACAAAACCCGCCATCGACACGCGTGTATACATTTGTGAATGTAAGCGAACTGAAATTCGGGTGTTTGCGGTGCTCGTAGAGCATCACATGACCATTTACTTCGCGAGTTTCTCTGGTCCGTCATTAAGTACACTGGATTTGTCAGTGTCCAAATAAACACCAGGACGGCACACCAAATTTCACATGCAGACGCGGGGTATCGATTACTTCGTCATCTGCCGTCAGTAACCCCATGCGATTACTTTTTCAGTCTCGTGAGAGTGATGAGCAGTACTGAATAGACACGCTTTGTTTTGGCTTGGAAACGACTCTTGGTCCACCCAGAGTCTCAAAGCAGTCTATAAGCAAGGCCTGTTTTCGACGACGACAATGAGGTCAACCCACTCATTTGAAGGAAGCATGAATCTTGTAAATTGAGAACTTAAAAGACTGGAAAAAGTAACGAAGGTTCATTCGCTGCGTTGGCGCCTGATATATGAATTTCGTTAGAAAATCCGTACGAAATAACTTCATGTTTCAAAACTCAGTCTACTCACCCTAGGCATGCAGGCATGCGAGGGCGAGAGCTATAGTACCGGAAATTGCTATGGCGAGGCCAAAATTAGGGGATTTCTTAGAAGCTTTCCCATCAACTGCACCATTAATTTTTGGTTTTTCACAGTCCTCTTGTTTTGCTTGCTGCTTCGCTAAAAATGCCTCTTTTTAGTATTTGCGCAAGGCTCGTAAATTCCTCCATTAGGTTCTGCTGCTTATTACATATCTTGCATGTTCCATTGGATTTTTTGGCCACTCTTGAAGATTTTGCTTGCTATATTTGTTTGGTATGTGATAGATTTGTCCGAAATTCCGCCAACTAACTTTGGCTGTGAGTAGCTTTTATGTGGAAGGACAGCTAGGACGTCCCTGATGCCTTCCCAATTCAACTTCCCCATTCAGTTATTTTCGCGGTTGTGGGAATTCCCGTGAAAGGATTTAAAAGGCCATTTAGCGAGCGTAGGCGCGCTGTCGATAAATTTTTCGTCTGATCAGCACAAGTAAAACATGTGGGTGATAAGGCAAACAGATTACAGTTCGTCTTTTCATATAAGGCGCCATTACGCAGGCTTTATATGCGGATCCTCGAACGGCTGATCAGAAGGCTTCCTCTATCCCTATGCTAGAGAGCACTCGCATTCGGGTTTTTTTGCTGAACTTTTGCAGATCTTAAGGAAAGATAGGCTCTATTCATCGAAGGCGCTTGCGCATGAAGAGCAATCAGGAAACAAATCCAGAAAGCACGAAGTGCTACCGTAAGAAGTGAGAATGAGTCCTCAAAAGATGGTAACGCCTCACTTTACTTCTGCAAGCTGTGATATTCCTGGCGCATCGCAGGGAGAACCAGTTATCCTAGCGCCGAGCAGCTGCGTCCGTGCTACCGGGAAATACTGGTGAGATATGACAAGACTGAAAGTGGTCGCAAGATTGGAACTCAGAGAATCGAATATAGGTTCAACGAGGTAGATTTGTGGAGATTGTAGGGAGCAGAGAAGTGACTGGACGTGGGTTTTCGCAGTAGAGCAGGGGAATAAGTGCCATCCTCCAAATTACAGATGATTCAGGAACACCTGTAATGGGGGTTAATCATCCCTGCGTCTAACCGATTCCGCCTGAGCCTTTAGACAGTATGCTTGATGAGGTGACGCTTGATTATCCTGAAATATGATTTCGACTTGTTTTGCCAAAAATTCGTCATTTCCCTCTCACGACAACAGTGGTTTTCGCGTTCACTTCCTAAGAGCGCAGTTATGAGATGGTATTGTCTGCGTGTTTTCGACCAAAAAAACGAAGCGTGGAAAGGACGCAATGTGAGACCCAACTTTACATATCACCTAGTACTGCCTACTGATTTTTACTAAAGTAGTGCTGCTTAGTCTGGGCACACTAATTGTCCCTTTTTCAAGATAGCATAAATCTTCGCTCAAATATCACAGTTAGTTCATTTTTCAGTCGATATACTTTGCCTTTGCCGACCACCTTGGCGACTTCTCTGTGTTCCGCTGTTCTGCATCATTATATCGTGCCGCTGGATCAATGTCCCTACTTTAATCTTATGGGGTTCGCCAACGCCACCCGTCCTTAGGCTTCTATTGGCTATTTCGCTGTCTTGATCCCTCAACTTGGCGTCTTATTTTGCGGGAACTTTATTTAGTTTTTTGGTTTTTTGGCGTTGCATATGGCTAGTATTCAATTTTACGGGTCGCTTCCAGGGTCATGCACGGATCTGTTTAAATCTATTCATGGAATTGGAACATTTTTCCAAAACCTGATCTTTTTTCACCGTTCTCTTTCCCATCCATTAGCCACACCCATATAACCTCTAATTCCACCGGCCCCGTAAGACACGATGACCTACCCTCCACATTCTGGATGGGTTCGCATACTGAGTCGTTGCGCGAAGCGTTTCTTAGAAAGTCTAGCAGTGAAGCCCATCAACTAGGTGAAAACCAGTCCACCTATTCTCCCGCGCACGTATGCGATGACGACATTTTCTGTTTCGGCCGTTGTGCACTAAATGTGGTGTGTAGATACGCAAATCCTCGCAGGTGCTTGTAGGTCATCTCAAAATTACCTTTGACGCCTATTAATAGTTGTTTTTGGCAGATTCAAATAATCATTTGGCCTCATAGGGAAAACCTCGGCGGCCTACGGTAGAGTTCCAACCCACAACAACAAGGGCACGGCTGCCGGGCTTTTCCGTATGGGTCAAATGATTGTGACATTTTTGTTTGAGACCTTTGAGATCATGTTACGTGGTAGACGATTAAGGCTAACCTTCAGACACGCGGTTTAAAAAATAGAAGAGCTATTCACCCACCCGTGATTAACGGGATATTCTCCGAGACCTGTAATTTACCCGACACTTCTTATCAAAAGAGGTTGTATATTCCATAAAAGGGCGGAATTTTTGGGACATCTTTCATGCCACCCTGTTTTCGCGTATCATATAGAACTGTCTTCAATAATAAAGAGCTGCTTACTGAGGCCATTAGAAGTGCAATTACAAACACGTTTGGCAGTGGGATCAGTTAAGTTCACTTCTAAGTAGCTACGGAAATCAGAAAACAAAATCCTATTTCCGGTACTACAAAACACCTTCTAAGGCATAGACAGTCTGTTGAACTCAAACTAGCCTTCTGAGTCCATGCTGTGGTCGGATAACTTGGATTCCGGGTTATGGTAAGGGAGAATGATCGAAGGGAATTACTCCCTTTAGCTGTCGAAGTCCTGTACACGCGGATGCCAAGAATTCGGGACAAGCTGCGTTGTTGTCAACCTTACTGACTTTACACCAATCCCACTACGCGCCTCTGGCAATTTTCTTATCTCCAGAACTACCAACCCCCACTCCAGCGACGTCACTACCATTAGCAGTATCAGCACAACAATCAACTCAGCAGTTCCTAAACTTTTCTGCCCATGCTGTTACCCCATCGGCCTGGTCGGGCAACTTGCGAATCCACCACAATGAGACTGATGAGCCACGGGCGGGGACGTCAACACACACACCCCTCGCCCCATCGCTACCCCGTACTGGCCATGCATAGTTAGCCACCGCTGAGACGAGTTTTTAAATTATCCGATGCTCTAAGAGCCGTGGCATGGAGGGCTGCCAACTGACGGAACAACACGGTCCTCCTCTGAGGACGAAGAGTCAGGCTGCAGTGTTTCCTTCTGAATGTGGACTGCAAGGTACTCCCACTCAGCTTGGGATCCGGGCCGCTCCCTTATTGTGATAGTCTTGTCCTTTGTGTGCGGATCATTTGTGTGGCACGCGTGGGCGGACTGTTTTGCCCTGCCATCAACTGTATCCGATCCTGCTTCCGGTCTTCTTGGCTCTCTATTGACACCGAGCTCAGGGGGACGAGGGTGGAGAGGGTTTGGTAGATGCGTCGCAAGTCCACTATCATCATAAACTATTTCGCGTGCAAGTCACCGTCCTTGTGCCCACCTTGCGGTGGGCTACACTGTGGAAATTATTAGTAACGACGGTCAAGCTATCGTATACGCGAATAGCCGTCATCAGAGAGCGACACTCATAGCCTACGCAAGTTGACGCACAAAGGTCCCGTTAAAAAGATGTCATTATAGCATGGCTCTCAGGGGCGCAGAGATGTCACATCTTCAACCCCGTGACTGTTAGCGTGTTGGTTATATAGAATGAGGATGCTGAACGCTTTAAACCATTTCCGCGGACCCCACCCGCTCATCCGCATCTTATGGACCAGTGACTTGTTGGAATTGATTCTACTGGGTATGAAATTGATGTGACATGAGGCCGCTATTTTACGCATGCGTCGCACGGACTCTGGTCTCACACGCGTATAGAGTCCGCGTCAAGGAGTTGCCGCAGTCGACCCTCTTTTCCAGGGGGGGGGGCGGAGTTAGACCGTCAGACGGCAATCCTTCAAACAAGGACATTTAACGTACCTTGGTAGTTTCAGGGGTGACAGATTCATCACAGCAGGGGATGCGCAAAGCACCTCTCCTCCCCTTTGCATGCACCATTGACCTCTCTACTTTTGTCGGCCGGCTGTTGATGAAGTATGTTTTGGCCTGCTGCCTCCCACACATATATATAGGAGGACATCTAGGGGCTTAAACAGACTCACCGCAGGTGACCTAAGTGGCCCTGTGCTTGGCTGTGTTATTGTTCTATCATAACGGCGGAGCAGCCTGTTTGGGTGTTGAAATAATCCCCGAACTGTATGCGTTCAGCACCTCTCCTCTACCGCGAAAGTTAATGCTAAGTTTCTGGCGTTATCGCAACAGACACGTTGCGGACAAAAGCAAATTCATGCGAGATGGGGCTGGCCTAGAAACGCATGTCCGGGCTCACGGCCAAATATTGTGATGTCGCCTGTCGATTGCGCTGGAGATGTCTGGAGTCAGACCCCCTTGCAGACTAAACAATCAACTGCGGCCCTAGGTCACCTCCTGCATATCAAACGCGCCCCATGTGTCCCCATGCGTTTGAAAATGGTTAAATTTATGGGAGGAAATGCAGGTTTCATCTAAGCGGTCTTTCAATCGATTCTTTTCTTCCGTTCTTTCGCGTTCAGACATTAATTGAATAACTGCATGCCAGACGTAAAAAATTACCAAACTCGGTCATAGTCTTCCGAGCAAAGGCCGCGAGGTTAGCAACTACTGAGTGAAAACGTCCATTTCAGGCGTGTGAGCGAACTGATGTAATGAAATTCAGCCGACACCCTCTCAGCTAATCTTTATTTATTAGTAGAGGAAAGAGAGCACGGGTTGGGACTTAAGGCCAAAGCATCGCCCATCGGCAGCAGGAATAAACACAGAAGTGCTCTTCATTACAACAGACGCAATTTAGTGGTTGTGGAGAGGGATAACCAACGATTACCCCCCCCCCCCTAATCTGCATTGCACGCTGACCACCAAAAGTTCATAAAATTTCTGGGTATAACAAGGAGCGTCATCCAGTCAGGTCTGATGCACAAACACCATTTCCGTCTGCTGTCACTCATTCATACTTTAGAGTGAGAAGACATGTGGTGATTTGTTTGCGTTGAAGTTAGATGAATTAGCCCTTGTCTATAGTTTTTTAATTTAACAGAAGCACTCTTCCATTTTTCTTTCCGATGACTTGAGCGTTTTCCTTCTGATACAGGGTGGCGGGCTGGAACCAGAAGTGTGCTCCTCTACACGGTCTCTTCCATGTCGGTGATCAGGTTGTATCGGCAAATGATTTCCCCGTCAGCACTCTCCTCGAACTAACCAAGGCGCTGAAGTCCAGGCGCTTAGCCTACCGGTTTCGCTGGTTCTCAGAAGACGCCCTTGATTCTTCTCTCATCCTTTCTGTGGATTCCACCCAACCCCTCCACAGGTTACGTATTCGAAGGTTACCCCACGCTCGCGCTCTGATAGCCTGTCGGCAGTACGCTGGCCAGAGTCTCGGAATCGCCTTCGAGAACGGGACCAATGTGGTCAGTGCAAGTTCTTCCTGTAGTACCTCCTAAACTCCACTCTTGGGTATTTATATCCAACTTCCTTTCCCCGTATCCCCTTCTACATGCTATCTGGTGTCACGTTTTTATGTTTTTTGGCGAGCTTTCTTCCTGCCGCCCCAATAGCTTTATAAACAATTTTAATAGATGCGATTACGCCAACTTTACATATGCCACGTGCTTGCGCCTTGCCTACTCTTTTAATGCCCCGGAGTGGGGAGTCCTTATACTCCATCCTCGGTTACATCAGATATCAGTTCAAACGCGCTTCCCTCCACGTGCTTCGATCTCTGCTTGCGCTCACTTTATTGTCTTAATCCAGCGAGGGGCTAGGTAGGTTTGCTAAAGGAATTGTTCAGGCGGATTGGAACTCCGTCGGTTCTAGGTTAGTGACTGTGCACTGCGAATTACCACGCGGTTCCCTCTGCGGCCATCCAGTTCTGATTGCATCTCCCGATTCCTGTTAATGCAGCGATAGTCTTGTCCTACAGAGAGTGTATTCATGTTACCTTCGGTTACACCAAGCATCGGTTCACACACGCTGCCCTGCGCGTGCTTTGAGCTCTGCTTGCGCTCTCTTCCCCTTCCTAATCCGGCTAGCGGCTAAGATTGGTATGCTAATTAACACTGTTTAAGCATGCTAACCATACTGGCATCAATCAGGTGGGGCTGCAGGACCAAACCTTGCCGTTTTTTCTGAACTTTACTTCAGATATTGGCGGTCAAACAAACAGCACAGATACTCGTGGTTGGTTTATCTCCTCTATCCCCCTGTCTGCTTGCAGTCGCTAGCCTACTGTTCCTTCTTTCGGACATTTCAAAGTGTGTCCGCCGAGGGATCTGTGGGTGAGGTCCCAAGGTTGTTGGCGTGCTGACTCCACAGATATCCTTTTGTCTCACAGCTCACGAACGCATCTGAGTTTTCAGGCACTGCATGTAGTACTGAATGGATCTTCTAAGCACCCAACCCCACCACTTGTGTTTCCCAGTGCTGGAACTACTTTGTTGTTGTTGTTGTTTTAGAGAAAATTGCAGGTCGTGACTATTACGGCGTCCAAAAAATCGGTTAACTCATGATGCTCCAGGCGGTATCCGCAGGGAACAGTTTGGTGGAGGGACAGTTCCCTGCCCTGATTAGATTCATTGGTGAATATCGTCAGGCAGGCCTCTGGTGTATCAACTTTTTTCGTTTTCAAGATGTGCTGGACAGCCGCGGGTAACATTTGCCACTTCGTAGCGCCTCAGTGGCTGACTGATTTTTTTTTTTATTTGTAACCGACAGAAGATCTGGTTGTTGTGCGCGCAATGGGCGCTTATTCGTCCGATCTGAGAGACCTCTTTGAAGACGTTCTACTGGCTGTCACATGTGGACGCGCCGAGTTAACCGCAACTGGGCTTAGCGGCAGGTCTTGGCTTTTCTAGAAACACCTTTGGGACTGTGCAGTGTTCTCATTGCCATGCTGCGGCAAAAGCATGAACAATTTAGAACGTAATCTCAAGTATTCTCTTTTGTCGGTAGTATAAATTAGATAGATTTGTAGTTGAATAATTTGCACACCTGGCAACTGATGGCTTACTGTCTCAATGGATCGAAGACCAGCAACCCATCCTTTTCGTTCCTTACAGCAGACTTTTGCTGAAAGTGAGGGATTCTTGTATCCTCACTAAGTCATATGCTTAAATCGGCCCAAAGAGGGACCTTGAGTGGTAGTTTCTCTGGAATTTCTTCATTCATATCTCCAATATACAATAGCGAATATATGAGTGATCATTGCAACCGACTACAGTATCTTGTACTCTCCCTTGTCCGTGCTCGATTTTTCCTACCTGAGGAATCGTTTGGTAGATCCAGTTAAAACGCCCTGATGGCGTCCAACCTCTGCGATCAACGATGTTTTGCGTTAAATTGGTCATTTAAATAACGATCGGTCTATAAATTCGTTTTCGACGTCTCCTTGAAGAATTTACAATGCCATATTGCCTGTGTGACCACTTTTGTGTGATGTTAAATCCTCTCATGGTACCTGTTTACATAAATGTAGTAATTTGGCCAAGTTCCAAAAATAAATCAGGTTTTGACTTATTTGTTCTAAGGCTGCAACAATAACGGGCAATGTCGTGTCAGCTGCACTTAGGTAAGTCCACCAACTGTCTTTGCAAAATGTCATTCTACAAGCCAGGCGGCAAAGCCGACAGAGACGTAAATAGAAACTTCACAGCTTTATCACCTGAACGTATCCTTTCAGTGAACTTAAATCAACAAAAGACGAATTTCGCTTTACGCACTTCGCTCGCGAAAATACGTTGGTCCTGTACCTTTCACAACTGTCCGCTCCGGGAAAACAGAAGTAGAAAACTATAAATAAATTTATAAATGTCTGGTCAGTGTGGCGGGAAACACTAACTTATAGTGCGTTTCAAGTCCTACCAGTACTTGTGAATTCATCGCAATGTTTTGAAGTTTAGTTAATGTCGATAAGGGCCCGGTGAGAAGTGTAATGCTGGATGGGTAAACTCACGAAAGTCCAATAACCAGACTTGTTGCATTTTTTGTCCCTTGCGCTCTCAAACTGACCTGCCTTGCTCACCACCTTATTTAATATCAAAACTGTACGGACGGGACTAAGTTCATCTAGCCCAGTGTCTCTCGAGCGTTTTACTCGCGGTATACTCAATAGAACACTTTTCGCTAAGGTACGCTATTTATGATTGTAACTTGAGCTGAGCAGATTTAGACGTGAACATTTTTCATTCACAATGCGTTGAGCTTAGTATTCTATGCTAACGAGAGAATGCTTTATGGGGACCTTCAGCTCACCTATGCAACTGGCAAGCTCGTATGCGTGTGAGCAAAGTAACACAAAACGTGAGTGCATGGTCGACATGAAGACATATGTTTAACCATCTATCATCTGCAATTGTTTTCTTTTCTTCAATTGGATTTCAACTAACTTTACAACTGCATGAAATGTCATGCGGCTGCAAAAAAATAGTTGCCTTCCTTTTAGGCCAAGTTAGTGGCCCAGGAGTTTTATTCAAATTATACATGGCGCTCATCTGGCGAGTTGTTGTTAATACTAACAATGCTCCCTTCTTTCATTGTTAGACGCGTGTTTTTATGATACCCGAAGAAACCGATGATTGCCTCATAGTTCTCGTTTCGAGCGAATAAAGTACATAGAGGGCGCTGGAGCAATCTTTCCCAGTTTCGACTGCCTTACTCGCATTGTTCTGCTTTTGAGTGAATACATATCGACAGTCGGCGAGCGCCCGAGTGGGAGGTGCCCGCCCTCCCTATACTTCATTCTAACTTATGGCTGAAAGGTCTGAACTACCCGTGATTTTGTGCTGCTGGATTTTGCATGTTACAGACTCGGCAGTAAAGTGCCCAATTTTTGCGAAAACCTCCTTGAGGCAAGTAAATTCGAGCGGTCATGTGTACGCGCAGGCAAATTAGAGACTGACGTTCTCAACAAAGACGAATAAAACGATTTTGATTCGCAGATTGACTATGCGTATGAGTACTTTTTCCCGCTAAATCCCTCGAAATTCTGTATGGAATGCCATACACCTGTGATCTTAGTCTGTTTCCTTCCATTATTTAACCGCATTCTGGAGCGTATCGTGGTTAAACCACTTTAATTAATGACTCTTATTGTTTCATCGGTCGATGTTACAGGTTGTTTGGCCTGAACCTTTGGCACCGTAGTTTCGCAGAGTAACATACAATTTACAATCTTCACGCGCGGGTTGTGCTCTAGGAAATACATTATGAATCCTCTCTTTTGATCTGATATCAGTGCGGACAGCAGTTCAGTTGTCGCGCTGTAGTTCTCTTAAACTAACGTTCTTGCTCATTGGCTTGAAATATTAATTTACATGGCGCTATGTAGGGGGTAAAAATTCGGCAACAGATTAAATGTCTTACTGTTTCTAATAAATCGCAGAAGATACACAAATGGGCTCTGCCACTGTTGCCTACAATGGCCCCGGTTGGTAATACCCCAAATCTTGTTAAGTTTCACTTTCGCACTCTTAACCGTTCTCGAATTTCATCTATTGTGTCGCTCAAAAATCTACCGTTCTACAGCCAGACGTTTCGATTGACAACGGAATTGACTTGCCAGACTGAGTGACTTCATTACTGGTTCTGAACAAAACTGCAAATTCTGATGCTGTCTCAATAGTGTGCAGTTTCTGCTTCGCTGATAGAAGCGAACAGGCGAGTCCCAGGTAGCAGTTCAGAAGATGAAGATGCGATCACTGGGACAAGAAGTTTATTTGCCTGACGTTTCGGATTCTCACTCGAATCCATCATCAGAGACATTCGCAGATAGAGGTGAAGGTGGCACCAGGAGTGCAGTATTTATAGCACGTGGCTGCCATGGGACCGTATGCGCAATGCAATTAACAGTTCTCACAATCGCCGCTGGGGTCGTAATTGATGCGGCGGTGGCTTGGCGGTCCGAGTCCGAGTTGTTAATGGCCGCGATTTCGTCATCCGTGCTCGATGCTGGTGTGACGATTGCTCGGCAAACTGGCTCACTGTCACCGTGATAATTGCTCACCCGCGCCCTCCCCACGTGACTGATTCTCCTGCCCAGGGAAAATCGCAATACGGAATAGGGCACCGGAAGGTCATAGTGTTTGTTGGTGGATTGCGGGCCTGAGAACCACGACTCGAGCAGCTCGCGGCTCACGCGGCTGTCACCCCTTGCGAGGATTTCGGCCTCTTGAAATTTGAAAATATGGCCGGGTCCCGTCGAGTGTGCCGCCACCTGAGAGTTAGCGTCTCCCCGCCTCACTGCTGCTGCGTGCTCGGCAAGTCGCGTATGGAGTAATCTCCCAGTTTCTCCGACATGATTGCTTTGTCCGCAACTACACCAGATCCGGTAAACGACTCCAGACGTTTCCTGCCGTGGCAGCAGGTCTTTTGGTTTCATTACTTGGCGCCTAATGGTTGCTTCCGGCCTGCAACCATCGTCGTAAGCCAACAAGTTAGTGATTGGTAGCTAAGCGCTAAATTTCGGACGGGGTACCTATTGCCGTGTCCCGACTTTAACCTCAACCCTAGGACCGACCGCCACAGGCCTAACAATAATCATAATCACCGTAACCCTAACACTAACCCTTACTCCATCCTCAAACCATAAACTTTAACATAAGACCACCCGTACTCTCGTGCTCTACATGATATCTAGAGGAATAACGTATAAACGGCTCCTAAACGTATTCATCTTGATATACAGCAGGTGGGCTAACTCATAAAATGTCAACCGAAATTCCGAAATGCGTTTTCGTTTCGAAAAGATCAATTAATTAGGGTTGCAAAACCAATTATCATGCAGCGTAACTCTATAGTAATTCAATTACCGCAGCATGCCGGCTTTCGAACGAACTTCGTTTCGGGTGCATGCAAAAACTACGCTCTGTAAAAAATGACCTCTTAATTAGCATATATTGTTCTCATTTATTTTCGGTGCCCTTAAAGACTAACTTATATTTAATTGAAATCATGCATAAAATATTCATTCTTTTGCTCGTTCGACAGAAATTTACGTCTTTTTCCGATTTTATGTTCGAAGGGAGGGTATGATTCGGTTTTTAAAAGACTTTTTCAATTTCCGAATAATTTTGAACCCGACCTACCGTTAAACTTGCGTTCAGGGTTTCCAAACTACAAGCCGTTTATTTTCCGCGTAATTAAAACCATACATTTCTCTACGGTATTAAGAGGAGACTATATGGGGTTCATACAATTTATCAGTGGATTTCAGCATATTGTTAACTTTACAAGCCATATTGGTGAATGCACAGACATAACATTTTATGAACGGCCATTTCACGGTCTTAAAAAATCTCACAAATGGGAACTTTTTGAAACCGAATTATATCCTTCTTTCGAGCATGAAATCGGAAAAAGACGTAAATTTCTGTCGAACGAGCAAAAGAATGAATATTTTATGCATGATTTCAAGGGCACCGAAAATAAATGAGAAGAATATATGCTAATAAGAGGTCATTTTTTACAGAGCATAGTTTTTGCATGCACCCAAAACGAAGTTCGCTCGAAAGCTGGCATCCTGCGGTAACTGAATTACTATAGAATTACGCTGCAGGATGATCTGTTTTACAAATATACTTAATTGATTTTTTCGAAACGAAGACGCATTTCGGAATTTCGGTTGACATTGCATGAGTTAGCCCACCTACTGTATTTTATGAGAGATAGTTCCCATGTTCACGATATTCCCTATTCGGTTAGCTGCACAGGTAGCAATAGACAGGCATTAGTAAATGCTCATTGTGCATTTACAGTAATATGTCATCTGGGGGAGGGGAACAGTCGTGGTCGGGTGGAAGAACCAATGATGAAAGTGCAGTAGACGGTGAAACTGTGTAGCCAGATAATGGGGCAGCGGTATGGGAGAGGGAACAAAAGTTAAATGATTTGAGCCTATGAGAGAAGTCGGAGATTTAGATGGAGTTGACGGCCGCCCCGCCGGAGGTGCCGAGTAGTCTTCGGATGTGTGAAGTGCAAATATCTGACAATGTCTTTACGATAATAGGACAGGGCTGCATAAACATATGATAACCGCCAGTGCCGCCATTAGCATTCAATTTGTACTATGCGAGAATTGCTTGAAATCTTTTCTATAAATCTCTTTTCCGCGTCAGCCAGATATAATATCATCTCGATGGTGTCAACTGAAATTTTGGACTCTAACTAAGCCCCTCGATGTGAATCATATTTTAGTCGTCCGCTGCGCAAACTACCGGTCTCCTGTCGACATAAGTTTTGCTCTCAATCCTCCGGTTTGTTAAGCAAGTTACAAAAAGAATGGGGTTTTGCGTTAAATGTCAACCCACATCACCATCGGTGCCTCCGCTTCTCAAAACGTCAGTGGAGCTTTTATTAATTTGGTTTTAACGGAACGCCTTTTTGCAAAACGCAAAAGCATCCGAAAAAAATCACATAACATCTATTTAGCCGCTCTCATTGAAATTTCGCATCTAGAGTCCGCCAAAATAGCCTTGGTAGGCATTCTGTGGCAGGATCTCCAATAGTGAAACGGCGTTTATTAGAACTTCCCCATGATTGTCCCGAAGTTTGATGAAACGTTTGAGCTTTTCGTCGGCAAAGTTTCCCCTGGTGATTTTTGACGAGCAGTCTACTCTCTATGGCCAGATAGTCAAGTCATGTGCTTTCAGAAGACGAAGATGCGACCACTGGAACAAGAAATTTCTTAGCCTGACGTTTCGGATTCTTACTCGAATCCATCATCAGAGACATTCGCAGACCTTTATCATGTGCTTTTATTCATTTTTCGAATTATGGATTGGGGCGTCCTGCAGGTTAGATAAACGGAAAATATCTATAAGTCAAAAAGCCGGTTTGGCGAACTAAGGTCACTAGATAAACTGACCTAAGCACTTAACCTGTGTGAGTTCTTGTCATTCTCTAACTTGCAGCGAAGAAAGATGGACCCACTAAACGCACTGTGCTACCATAATAGTAGGCCTGGCGCAAGCGCCCCTTCCTTCACATTTATTTAAATTCGTAACTTATGTCTTGGAAATAAAGCGCCAAACAGGATTTCAAATAGTGCCTGACGAATTAATTACACAGTCATGTTCGATAAAGCATGACTTGAATAAATTGCTCCCAAACTTCGCTCCACAAAATGACAGCTTACCTTACCCAGCAACCCAGCCGGTCAGTCTAGCTGTCATCCAAATTATCCTCGTTGGCTTCTACAGTGTCATAAGGATGTCACACATGAGAACACGGACAGTGGTGATTTTACTTCCGACTCTTTGGCGTGACTACTTTTGCCCACGTACATTTGGTCTGCCTTAAGTTTCCCCGAGGGAACGGACGTTTTACTCATTAATTTTTTGGTACCCATGATTACTTCTGCATTTCATGAGCGGAACCAAATTTGCTACAACATACAGTGAAAATATGACACTCGCACAACGAGAAAAAGTGTGTCAAGGAGCGGAATTTGATCGCCAAAGCCAAAACTTCGGGTCGGCTGTTCGACCTCCTGGACTAAGGGCCGTGTCCGTTAGTTGTACAAATAACCAATACTTCGGGCTGTGTGATTGCCGTGCTGCGATAGTCCGTGACAGCGAGACTAATTTTTTTCCTCAGCAATTCAGAATTTCTAGCATTCGGACTACTGTCGACTCCAGTTAACATTAGACAAACAAGTGGCCTTCTCTGGCGAGGACGTGAATAGACGGAAGAGAAGGACTTGCAAGCCCTTCTGACAAAAATTGCCAGCTACCACGCAGCCTGTGAGCACACCACGATAGTTCAGAAGATAGAGCATCTGACGTAAATCCTGAGAGTGGACAGCTCGCATTTGTTCTGTGGCACATGCTTTAAAGTCCCCCATGAGTGTTCACCTTCTATAAGACTGAATCAGTCCCGGGGCTGAACGCAAGGTTTTTTGAACCTTCCGAGAAGTCCTCTCTCATTTCTATTCATTCCTAGCATTACCCGATCTCTTACTCCGCAGGCGCATGGCGCCAGTTACATAACAGGAACTTGTTTCGTTGGAGTTGTGCGAACAAAGTATGAGGAGTATTATGCTGAGATAAGGCTTGCATGACGTCGAACAAAGTATAGATTATTTACAATAGGGAGATACCGTCCGCGAGGAGAAACCATGGGAAGTCTTTGCACCACCAGATGGGTAACTAATGTAAATTATGTTTGCTTAAACCAGTTTATTTGAAAAGGCTTCTGAATGGGCAAGCGGATCATGAAATCTGAGGTTCCTCAGGTTTGCGCTTCGTTAAAATTATAAAACTCGGGGATAATCTGTTAATAAACGCAATGCCACTGTCACACCAGCCTAATGAGATTTACTCCTTTGTCGCTTGATTAATCAAGCAAATCTGACTATTGTAAAAAATTGTGCTCGCACGGGGTTCAACTTACTGGTAGTCCAATTCACAGTCAGTGTACGATTCAAGTGGGCTTATTAGGCCTCAGGTTTTCTGTTCTGCTTTAATTGTTAATAAATTACATATGGACGGCTACAGTACATGGCTTCTGTCAGAAAATGCTGACAGAAATTTTTAAATGCCTTGTCGATTAGAAAGGATAATTTGGGTGTGGTTGTAATATTTGTTATCGTACTGCATAATCCCAGGATATTTCAGTCACTTAAGGACGCCGACTCCTGAATGACTACGCAATTAGTTATTTTTAACTGAATATAGTTTTGTAAATGGTCGAAAAAAACACATTCACTTGTCGGTATTCTGAGGCGATCGAAGTGTCGTGTCATCATGCTGCACGACAATCAATATTACAGCCCCACCCATGTAGTCCCTTCTAACCGAAATCGCGTTCCAGAATTTCCGTTAACGTTTCATCAGATACGCTACCTAATTCATATAGTCAAAAGGCCACAAGAATAAGTGTAGGTCCATAAAAAACTGTTGTTATTTCAACAGCTGCAACCGCTGCAGGCAGAGCCCGCTTTTTTGTAAGTACCTCTTGTTAGTTTCTATTATTTTCATTGTACTTAGTATTTAATTTCATTCAGTAGCCCTTTCATTTGTATGCGATTTGGGGAGGCTGAAGCATGAATGCCCTTCAGCCGAACCCTTCAGTTTTTTCTGATCGAAAGTTCATCTTACTATCAGCGTCGAAACGTAACTTTAATTGCATTAGTGTCCTGGACCTAACATCAGTTGCCAAGGAAATCGATGCTTCATTCTTAAAGGACAACTCACTTTAAAAAATAGGTTATCCAGTGAATTATCTCGTCAATAACAGGCAATCGCTTATTCCCGGCAACGTTTAACATGAACACTTGCATAGGTAAAAATATTACCATAGACCTGCTACCCAAATCTGATACGAACGCACACAAGAGCTGCCCAGGCGTAGTCGAAAGACATAAATAAGACAGGATGACACGTAATCCACTTGTCTCCTTAAAAATCAAATAGATCTTTAATACCACTTTTGAAACTCATTTTTCAATGTTCACTGCCCAATGCATCGTTCTGAATTTTTCAATGTTAAGTCTCTGAATTCAAGAATTCAAAAACGTATGGCAAGAAGGTCATTAAATTTCAAACATTACTGCGACTAATGGGCCACCCTGTGTTTGCTGACCCTAAGTATTCAACTAGCTTACTTCGACCGTCTTTGCAGACGATGTCCACTGTGCGCTCCATAACAGTGTTGGAGCAGGGGTGGTGACTTGCGCGTGAATTCGTTTATAATTGTAGTAGACTTGCGCCGCATCTGCCACACCCTCTTCTCATTTCCTGCCTGGGCTCGGTGCCCTGACAGAGTCAAGAAGACCAAAGCTGGGAGAGAGCATAGGTGACTAGTACGGCGAAAATCCGCACCTTAGCGCGTACCACCACACCGGCCTGGATCCTATTGGATGGGGGAACCATGAAGACAACATTAAGACGGAGCCATTGCAGCCTCACTCTCAGCCCACCAGTCCTCCATTCCACATAAACACACACTGGGCTAGCTGCGAGCTCTGAGTTATCGAATCAGTTGGGAGCCTTCCAAGCCCTGGCTTTTAGCTCACCGTGATAGATTTAAGCGCGTCAGATTATCTGGAGATGCAAATGCGCTGAGACCGTCGACCTCACCCTCTCCTTGCATTCCCAGGTACCAGTCCACTGTCCGAGCGAGTCAAATGTCTGATGCGAAAAGTGGGCGCAATGCCTGGCAGAGCAAGAGAGCCCGTCTGCGCGCTCCATGTGCACGACTCGGACCCCCAAACGCACAACAGAATCTCACGCACAAAGGTGTAGCGTGAGAATGCCATAGACAAGAAGACATCGCAGTCTGACCCTCAGTCCACCAGTTGGCCACTAAACACCCAAACACACGACTTGGCTGACTGAGTTGTCTGAGTTAGATCGTCAGTAGACAATCTCCCCATGTGTGATTTTGACACACGTGATGGTCTCAAGTACGTCGGGATAGTTTTGAAGGATTACACGTTGAGAGTCGACCTCGCTCGCACTGTCCTTGGTCGCGCACCAATCGACCGACCGAGCCGGTTAACAAACTGATTATGTTACTGGGAAAGGTGGCCGACAGAGCTGATAGCGGCTGGTCCGCGAATGCCACATACACGATCTTACAACACGCCAGAATTTCACAGGAAAGGGAGTCGACCGCTCAGATCTCCCATATGGCAGAAAAGCCACTGAAGAAAGGAGCGCAAGAACATGCTTCTCACATACGTGAAAGATGCCTGTATTGTGTGATGTCTGACGAGTTCATGTGTGGGGCATGTGTTAGTGGTGGAATGTGTAATGATGTAATCTAGTCTAGGGGGACTTATCGCAGATTCTCGTGGAGGCGCATATGACCAAACAGGCCCATTCACTGGCTGCATGTGCCAGGACAATGCTTGTGCGATGGCAGTAAGTGTATGCTGGCGCTGCCGGCACTTGTTTGCAGTCTCTGTGCGATGGGCTCGCAAGGCAACCTGAAGGTCGATGCGAGACATGCATGTGCGATGACAGTGTAGGCGGGATAGGCTGGGGGATATTGAGCCAGTTGTCGCTGTAATGCTGCTAGTGCTCGGCGCGCTGGTCGATGACAGCTGATTGCGCTGGAACTGGGAGAGTTGGTAGATGTGCAATGTGTGTTAGGTGTGTCAATACTGAGTGAATTCCACTGTCGTGAATAGGCATACGACCGAATAGACGCATGCGGTGAGTGAATGAGCCTGGACAATGTGGATCCTGAAGGCGGGTGCGGATAGTGTATGTGGGAACTCCTGGGACTGGCTCGCCGGTCGTAGTGCGATGAATACTTAAGTGACCGACCAGGCCGATGCGTATGGTGAATGTGCCCTAACGCGCCGCGGTCCATCTGTCCACAGTTTCGCACCTTTCCACAGGCTAACTCAAATCTTGTCCCACATATGTATGCCGGGAAAATTCGAATTAGTGTTACTCATAGCAAAGCCATACTTCTGAGATAAAAGCAATCATTTGGAAAAGTTCCGGTGAGTATTCTCAAGACCAGTGGTTTACTTTTCAGACTAACGATTTAGCACTCGCTTTTCGGCCTAAAAAGCTAATCTCTGTCATCGAGGGAAAATTGTCTAAAGTTTGCAAGAAGGTTTAGTTACCTTTGGATTACAGCAGTTTTTGAGATTCTACACAAAGATTCGCTCGAACTGATGGCATCAGTTCTTTGAAGTATAGAGCGACTTATTTTCGTTAAGTCATTTTGCACGTATGCGATTGCCATCCTTTAACCATTCGCACTATTTTTGTTGTCATGGTTGACCTCATCGTGATAACGCTTTGTTTTTCCGCCGACGGATTTCTTACTTGAGAGAGATTTCTGAAAACACCTACGCGTCCGAACATGTGTTCTAAAGATTCCAAAGGCATTATTTCACCTCCCAGCAGCTAAATGGCTGGCTGGAAGCGGGCAGATGTGCCAGATTCGCTAATAATAGGGCATTTATCTTACACAGCTTTTTTAAAATCCCATGTTTATCTGTCCGCTCCAGGTTAAATCCATCTCCCAGGATGGCCCCTTGGCGTGCACTGGTCTCCCACTGTTAGCTCCCGCCTTTCGGTTTGGGGGAAAATCGCCCCAAAAGCATGGTCTTCGCCTATTAAAATCGCGGTTCCAACACACCGAGGAGCCCTGTTCTGTGCCCTGGACGCTGACGGAGATTAATAATCGGCCTGTAAATTTGTTCTACAGCAAAAACGAGGTTAGTTGTTTTTCAGGTCACTGTCCTAGTGTTCATTTTACCTTTTTGCAAAAGAGCCAATCTAGACTCTGCTGTTCTATATATGTCGTCTCCTATGTGCGATTGTCTATTGCCAGTGATGAGAAACACTCTTATCCCAGGGGACCAGGGTTGACTCGCGCGTAAATACGTTTTTTGCCTGGGAGCATGGGCAACGCCACTTTCTCCTCCCAAACTTATCATTGTCTAGTGCCAACCCGAAGTCCAATGGACTATGAATGATGCTGGGTTCAGTAGATGACAGAGGCAAATAATTCGTCAACGTGTGTATCTACATAGACGTGACTGAAAAAATAGAGGTAGTTCCGGATAGCACATATACAACACTACCGTAAATTTACGCTTTGAACCCTGGCATCCTCGCCTTCACTTCCGAGTAGAACCAAGTTATCCCGTCAAGTGGCAACGTCTCCAGGCGCGAAGCTTGGTGCATCGTGACAGTTTAAATTACGTTCTGTTTATTTTAATGAGGGGTGTGTGCACTTGGTCGGCCCCACTCTCTGTCCTCTTTTACTCCGTGACAATGGTAGGTCCCGACCAAGTGGCAGATTACGTTACGCAAAGCCTCCGTCTGACTCGCTCCGCTCACATTTATGACACATAGAAATGGCCAACGCAACGTGTTCTGATGGGTTAGTATGTCACTCCGCATCCATAATTTGTGCAGAGCATATGCCCATAGTAAATTTAAACTACAAAAAGGCATTCTAATCAAATGTGGCAGCTGTTTCAGTTAATTTGCGAAATCGTCGGTCGTTCATAACTATGACTAACACCCGACATTTCGACCGCCGCATGCGGGGATGTCCACGGTGTACGTCATGGCCGGAGGAGTACGGGAAGTTGGCCTGCAATATTGCTCAAATCCACTGCTTAATTTTATGAACCTCATATGGTCTCCTCTTAACGCCGTAGAGAAATACACGCAATATTGTTAACTTTACAAACCACATTCGTAAATGCAGATACATGACTTTTCATGAACGGCCATTTAACGGTATTAAAAAAATCTCACAATTAGAAACTTTTTTAAAACCGAATTATACTCTTCTTTTGAGTATGAAATTGGAAGAAGACGTGATTTTCTACCGAATAAGTAAAAGAATGCACATTTTTATGCATGTTATCCATGAAATATAATTGAATTTTCAAGGGCATCGAAAATCAATGAGAAAATTGCATGCTACTTAAGTAGTCATTTTTTTCAGAGTATAGATATTGCATGCAGCCGAAAATAAGTTCTTTCGAAAGCCGACACCCTGAGGTAACTGGATCATTATAAATTTATGCTACATCATGATTAGTTTTACAACACTACTTAATTTATCTTTTCGAAACGAGAACGCATTTCGAAATTTTGGTTGACATTTCATGAGTTAGCACATCTACTGTAGTGGCAACAGACTTGTGCAGCATCTGCCGCCCTTGTGGCGTCTAGGCATTGAGAGAATTCAGGGCGCTACAATCATCAGACCAAATCCCGAGTTGTAGGAAAATACAGAATTCACTAGAACGCCGACTTGCCCTCTCAGGTGACAGCTGCCGCTGGCGAGTCCAGGACAGGTGTTAGGACATACCTGAGAGAGAAAAAGAGTGATTGAGACAAGTGTTGACAGCATTTTTTTGCAAGTTTGCGGGGGACAACTTCAAATGTTGTCCACTTGGTGTGTTGCGTTAGCCTAGGGATGGGGCGTCTAGCGGTCTAGGTTGCATTCGCTGAAGGGTGATGTGCTCAAGTGGCGTATGGACAGCTCCTATTGTGTGGACGCATCTGTGTCCGAGTCAAAGTCTGTCGGGTGGCTGCAGGTCAGCGCGTCCAGGGCCGCTTGCCGTAAATTTGAATGGCTTTGATGCAGTGGGGTCTTGAACGAGCACGCCGGACATCCCAATGGTGGCTATCGGCAACACACTCCCTCCTCCTTCACCCTTATGGGCCGGTGGCAGGACACAATCAGGACGATCAGAGACGGGCTCGGGCTTGTTGACCGACAAAGTTAAACAGCCCGTTTCCGCGTGCCAAAAACAACTTGGTCCAGCACAGTATACCAAAATTTCACGGAAAGGGGTGGCTCGGACCTCGCCTACATGGGACTGCCATAAAGGCCACAATCAGGAGACTACATCGAGTCTGACTCTCCGTCCTGGGGGGACCGAGTTGCCTAGTCAGTTGACAGCCTTCATGATAGATCAAGGCGCGTTTGGTTTATTATATTTTAGAGTGAGCTGTAATGTCTTGGGGATAGACTCCTCAGGACCGATCTCACTCAATCTCTCTCTCTCTCTCTTCCATCTCCCCGGCTATTTGAACCGATCAGTCGTATGGCGCTGGGGTTGGACACAGTGGGTTGGCGCGGCATGAAGCCCCCACCTAAGCCTGTTACCACATCCCAATGCGCGGCGGTAGTTATGGGCTCGCGCGGACTCTGTGCACTCCGACTAACGCGTGAAGCGAGACAATCTGCCCCTTTTCTGACTAACACAAGTCTATACACCTAACACCACTAAGATATTTCACGTCTTAGGTCTAACCGATAGATCAGCAGACACATCGAACCCAATTTCCGAAGTACGCCACCATCTATCATGCGCTTCTGGATTAGATGGGATGATTACCCACGGAATTCAGGCCTCGTCTAGGCGTCATATGAGCCGTGCATGTGTGCATTTTGTGTTTCGGGTCGTGAATATTCCACCGGGGTATACTTGATTAACAAGGAAGCTTAAAACACCTACTGTACCCGTGTTTCAGCTTCTTTTGTCAGTTTACCTATGCTACTTATATGGTAAACAAGATATTAAAAGTGCGTCCTAGGACGTACTTACTTTCGTCTGTAATTTCGTTCATCAGAACTGATCCAGCTGGCTTCGAGTTGCACGTTCATCACGTTGCGAATGATCGCCCTCCGTTGCAGTCGGTTGACAGCAGGTTGCGAAGCGAAGATGAGCCAGCTTGCATGATGACGCCACGGACCGAAAACCACAGGGCCTGAGATGTGCACGGGGTCGACTCGCGCTATGTCCGTCCGCGTCTTCAGTCGTCTTCCTTGACGCCGTAGCCAGTCAGGGCTGAAGTCGAGCGAGATCGTTTACTAGACGATTTTTTCTGGTCGATAAAGCATATGTGTTGTGCTGTCTCAGTCGCGAGTTGGGAAGGATGTGGTTTGGTAGCCCCACCTGATGGACACAATACTGTTGGAGTTAAGATTAGGTGGTAGGATTAGGGGTTATGGTTAGAGTTATGATTAGGGGTTAGGGTGAAAGGTTAAGGTTAGGGGTTAGCGCAACTATTTCTCAGCCATTGCAAGTACAGCCGAACACTCCCAATACCTTTTTTGCATACAACTACTTGACCTCGTCGCCTGCGCGCTCCCCGGCTCCACCTGTAAAAACCCCTATTACTACCGGTCCCGTATTAGAGGTGACTGGGGCTTGTTTACTTCAGGTGGGGCTACAAAACCACGTCCGACCGCGAGTTGATGAGTTTCACTCGGCGGGACGAATTTCAAGAATGTAGCGCACGCACCATCTATCGGATACATTCAGATGATGGAAATTAGAGCGCGTGTGCAAGTTCTCACATCCGTTCAGGGGAACTGTCTTGACGGAAGCCTCACATAATCGTGGCGTTGTTTTTATTCTGATCTCACAGCCACTCCCGAGGTTTCGATGTCGTCGGATGAGGCTTCTGGATGAATCGGTAGCTGATGCCATCCTTGCCTATTATGCCTGATAAATCGTTCGACTCAATTACGTTGGACCTGACAAATGCCTCAAGAGCATCACGCCACGCCACTACCAGGCAGATGCCTCTGATCGCAAAACCCGGGGTAGTCATCCTCGTCCTTGACGGACTTGCTTTCATGTCACGTTGGCTGCTTTTACATCCACGCGGGACGCCGCGCATTGAATTTCCCCAAACAAGGTCACTAATCCCTCGATGTCCTAAACGTAGTCAAAAACATTGATAGGCGAACTGCGGCCTACTGCAACGCCTGGGTTCCCCGTCAGCGATTGTTGGTAGAACCCAAATTACCATGTAATTTGGCAGTTAGTTGGAGATCTAAACTCTGACCAACGCCTGTGTTGATACCAAAACGGCCAATTTCCCAGCGGTTCCCATGAACTTCGATCCTTGCTTTGCGGTAGCCAGCTTGAGTTTGATGGAGTAGCTCCGGGGATGTATCATCATGCAGTGTGAGGTGCCATAAGAAATTCTAACGAGGAGTCAAAATCAGGGACAAAGTTAACGAAGTAGACATGGGTGGGCCAGTGGTATCGGCAGCGATGGTAGAGGGCTTGACAAAAGAAGTGCTAATTGGCGCATCCCTGTCCCGACGAAAAGTTACACCAATTACTTTGTCCACGCATCTTGGAGTAGGTAAAGACGGTTAATAAAGATGGCTGCGAAGGCTATTGCTACAATGTCAAATAGGCGTATAGCATGGTAGTTCTGGCTCTTTGACCTATCGTCCTTTCTAAATATCAACATAAAAACCGTGTCTCTGTAGACACGATCTCACCTTTCACGATTCGAGTCGATTGACAATGCTCAACAACACTGGTATATTTTTGCCGGGAAAAGGCCCTCGGCATGTTTCCTTATAACCTCAAGGTTTTTCACTACAGATATTGGGCTGCAGTTTCAGCTGAATTCGAGCAATGGCACGTCTTCAAAGCGAATGGCATCTGAGGGAGCCTAGCCTGTTGTATTCAAGAGCTGGGGGACATGCATCTTCTACCAAAAGGGTTGCTATTAACACACCCTGATCCTTCCCGGTGACGGACTCTGGGAAGGTGGAGGACTGACTTATCTTCAAAATTCTGTGGACTCATCTTGCCTCTATTATTTGAGGCGCATTCGATGTGTTGGGCAGTTTCTCTCCGTATTTCGTTGTACTTGATTAGTGCGGAGCCCGCAGTCGCACAATACATGTTCCCATAATAAGAACCATCGCAAGAGAGAGTAACCCTCATATAGTTGGATAGTTTTACCAAAAATCTGTTGTGGTGATTATCCTCGTGACCCAACCCTTTCTGCGAGGTACTTTAGACGGCAGGATCCGTTTAAAACCAATAGTCTTCTATTGAGAAGCCTCGGAAATGTTTTTTTTATTTGTAGCAGGACCCTTGTGACGATTGACATTGTGTTTCTTAGCAAATCATGTTTCCTTGACAGTATGTATTCTGAGCCGTGGCGTGATCAGAGCCATCCTCGCTGCCGCTTTCGGCATCATGTGACTCGCAGGCGTCAAACGCCGAGCCAGATCAGCGTGCTCCGACAAGTTTGCAGTTAGTACATTTTCGAATGCGGCCATCCCCCGAATTTGTGTTCGTAAACACCACGTTGTCCGACGCAATAAAACCAGAACACCTTCCGTCATTAACCCAACAGTTTCTAACTGTGTGGTGTCCATGGTCTCTCCCAATAGATGCCTCATACTTCGGCGTTTTTAAGGCCCCATTACCCGTAAAGAACCTCGCAACAATCTGCATTTTGTTAGGGTTTTCTATTTCTTCGAAACTTAATATGTGGAGTTACAACAACTGCGAAACAAGTCTTTTTTATCTGCGCCCTGAGAATCGATATGAGCGCTTGGTCTGAAATCCACCAGTTCTAGTGGAATGACTGCATAATATTCACAATCTGATAACAAGCGGCCAGTAGTGCTCAAGTGCTGCCAGATTGCCCTCATGCGGGAAAGTGGTAAATCAACCTGCATAAATTTGTTAATACAAGTCTCCTCCGTATACCATCGCATTATGCGTCGGGAAGGAGATCAGAACAATTTGTAGACAACAGCGCTACTAATACGCATGGCCTCAATCTTTGGCAACACCGGTCTTCAGCGCACATAGGTCAAGGTTTGGCCGGCTCAGTTAAATCGATCCCATCCTCGTCTCGATCGGAGCTCTAGGCGACGGCGATGTCGCTGAGGTGGCAGAAGTCCCCAGAATCTGGCACCTTAATGCTGCACAAGGCATAATCGTGTAAATGCGCCCGGACTGGACTGATAACGTCCACGTCGCACCGCTCCAACGCTTTTATTGTTAAACGGTACAAAAACAGACCTTATGTTCTACCATGCGGTGCCTACTTCTTTCCCCCCCCTCCCCCTAAAAGTCTATCCTGAACAGCTGTCATCCGGTTCACAGGACGAGATCAGGATGTACGGAACCCCGCGAACACGATTGAAAAACTTGTAGGTGATTTGAATTTTATGGAACTCGGGTTCCCTAGCTCTCAACTTGCCTTTTAAGTGGAGGTTCAGCTCGCAAAACAGTTTAGGCAGGAAGAACTTATTTAACAATGGTCCATGCTGAATATGACATGGTCCTCTCATCGGACTTTGTGAATAATTGGTTTCTTTTGCCTCCGCCTCCTCCCCCCCATCCTGCTAGCAGCGCCGCTGTTGATTGGAGAATGTTTATTCAAGGGGCCCAAGTCCGTTTAGTTCACAGCTAACCTTCACTTAAGGCCATGTCATTGTTCGCCGCCCCGTCTTCCCGTCCCATGGAGAATTCATTCACTGGCTGTATGTAGGCTTCTAAAGGCTGCGTTAGTGGGGGAGAAAGGACCATTTAAGGGGAACGGAAAAAGCTGTGCGCTTAAATTTGGTCCACTTCTCTTCTAAAGTATGGTATGGGGAGGCACTATCAGTTTGAATGCACTGAGTAAAGCTGCGATCGATTTCTGCAGTCATACCCCCACGAGAGTACAATAAAACCATTGGTTTTGTCAAATGTTATCAATTGTTGAAATATCTCCATGTTGAGCGCTGCTTCTTGTGCCCCATTTAAACAGCTGATATTACAGGACGCAGCCAGTTCTCTTCCTGTACACAGTATTCCCTGTGAATACTTATACATGTGGAACTTGCTGTTATGAGTCTGGTCAGTATTACCATCACAAAGAAACTCTTAGCTAGTTATAGTGCAGTTCGCAGATTCACACCGATAGGTGATGAATAACAATACTGCGGTGAGTCAGACTTCCCGTTTAACGTTTCTCGCTTAGTTGTCTCCAGCAAAAAACTCAACTGGGGACGTAATTTTTGTCGGCAAAAGTAGCCAACTAACTGTAACTCTTTGCATCTGGCTACACCGATGAATTTGTTTTATAAGAGCTTACAATCCATGGTTCCGTCGTAAGTGCAATAACTCACGACTTAGCCGACGGACTGTTGGAGAGGCAGCTTATATATTTTGAGAGGCTCAAGTCCTACCTGAGATTGGCAGAAAAACCGGTAAGCAGATACAATTTATGTTTAAATGTCAAACGACCCAGTCTGTGGTTGGTCGAACACGCGCGCGGAAAGCGCGTGTGGCCTTCCATCGTTGTTCTGGTGGAGTTAAATAAACCGGCGCAGATAAGGAAAAAATGCCAGACAGTTAAGGGTGGAAGTTAATCAGGTACCTCGGTACAGGTTCTACTGATGACGAGTCATGGTTGTGGGTCGAGTTTATAGATGACGTCGATGTCATTATACGCCTGAACAGGGTCGAATCTGTCATGAATGGGCATAACTCAGTTTTCCAGCAAGTTCACTTACCAATGGAAGAGGAAAAAGACAAAAGGATCCCATTTCCGACTGCTCCCTCATTAAAGTTGAGGGTGTTAATCTTCAGTCTGGTGTCTTCCGGCACAAAATGTTCCCTGAAAGAACCGCCACTGAGGCAGGAAACAATCTCCGACACCCGACTACATAGCTAAGGACACTGTTCCATCAGATCGGCAGATGCAGCAACCCGGAACGATGTGAAAATTAGAAGGCGCACGTTCCTGTTTAAAAGTGTGAAAGGGTCATGTTGCGGCAGCTAAAGCCACGGGCTGATCCTAACAACTACGACCCTCAAGCCAGGTTCTGAGTGGGAAGAGGAGCAGTTAGACTCCAGTAGAAGGAGTACTTTAGACTGCACGCAATGGAAAAAGAATAAGTATGTGCACGTCCGGTTGCACCGGGCAGTCGTTTGAGTGACCTGAGTGAGGGCATGTCGGCGGCAACCTTGGAGTGGATTGGCCGATTTAGATAATTGTTATTGGCCGGACACCGGACAGAGCCACTCCACTTCAAGAACTGGCTAGACGCGATGGGAGCGGCATGACACCCCGGTCGTCGATTTCGACAATACCGACTGTGTGTTCCACAACAGGGTGGAAGTGGTGACGGTGGATTGCACGGTAATTCGTTTATAGTGGTGGCAAACTTGCGGGAAACATATCGCACTCTCTCCTGCTTGGGTCGGTGTCATGAGAAAGTCAAGAAGACCGGAGGTGGGAGGTAACGCAGGAAACTGGCGCTGCGTGAGCTCGCACCTAGTCGTGTCACGATAGACTCTGATTCGCACAAAAGGACCAGGATTATACACAATAAAAAAATGGAGGCGGCTTGGATCCCAACTGAATGTAAGTGCCATAAAAGCCACGCTAAAAAGGAGTTACTACAACCTCACTCTTAGTCCACTGGTCGGGCACTCTAGACGAACACATAATGGGCTGATTGCTTGGTCTTAATTAAAGCGTGAGTTGACAACCTTCCAGGCCACGGCTTTAAGTACACCGTGATAGTTTTGAGCGCTTCAGGTTGTTTAGTGTGGAATTGTGCGCGGACAGTCGACCTCTTTCTCTCTACCCTTTCCACTGCATAAATCGATTGTCCGAGCCGGTCGACCAACTGATTCTGAGATTGGGCGAGGTGAGTGACAGAACTAAGAACAGCCCCTCTGCGTGTTCCATACACGACCTGCTCCCCCACCTCCGCAAACAACAAGATAAGATTTCACACTACGGGAGAGAACTGGCCGGATCTCACATGTAGCAGAACAGCCGAGGAAAACGCCTCCACACACACGAGAGGTGCCTGGATCACTCGAAGTGGACGTTCCACCGTAGCTGTCGTTGCCTAAGTGTGTCATGCATACTGAGGATACCAGTCTGTTCCAAGATTTGGGTATCGGAGACCTTCCGTTTTCCTATTCACTGGAGACATGTCAGGTAAAAGTGATTGAATTTCCGCGCTTGGTTCTTCGTGCAGCAGCGTCGTCAGAACGACGGCTTTGTGCATCTTGAGTTTGGTTTTGCGGTGGTGACCGTGGGGATTCCATACTGTGTCCTGCAGCCCGCCGAATGCTTAGCTGGCTTTGGTGATCCAGTGAGCTACTTCGTCATCGATTTGATGTTGAGTGAGAGTGTGATGACTAAGTAGACGGGATTGTTCACGGCTTTCGGTTGGTTCCTGTTAGCAGTGATGCGAAGGACGTTATATTCACTGTCGGAAGACGGCAGATGCCTGATCACCATTTTGTCCACCTCGATGGTAGCTTGAAACTGGCGCAGTTGGAGACATAAAATTCCATGCTCCGTTGTATACCTGGTTTTGTTGTGGTATTGAATATGCAGTTGGGGAGAGCAGGTCGTAGACAGTAGTAATGGATAGGCGCATTGGGCCCTGCATGCGCCGGCTCTTGAAAAGATGGTCGTTGGTCTTGTAGACAATACGAATCCCAGGGCGTTCATCAGGGTAGACGTCCATCAGCATGATAGAGAACATGAGACTGAAGAAAGTGGGAGCGAGCACGCAGCTCTTCTTCATTAAATTGGTCACTGCCATGGCTTCTGATACATTATCCGCGACGCGCACCATCATTTCGTTGTGGAGCCGGCGTACAGTGTGCGTTAATCGTTAAGGGCGGCCAGAGTTCTGAAGGATTTTCTAGAGTGTTTCACGATTCACAGTGTCAGACGCCTTTGTCGGAAGCAAGAAGGTCCACATTGTCCTGGCACACCTTGTATTTGGCTATCCGAGAAGATGGTGTCGGTTGTTCCTCCGTATTGCCGGAAGTACCACTGGCTTTCCGAGTGAAGTCCATGTTCCTGAGGATCGCTGAGGCAATTTAAAATGATGACAGCGGATATCTTCTTGTTATGACCCGTAAGGAAGGTAGGACAGGAAGAGAGCCGGTTCGGAGGACAAGCACTTTATTGGAACTTGCGGACAGGAGAGGGTTACAACTCGTAAGAAAGTGTGCTATTTATTGGCTCCCGTGCGTTCTGGAACATTCCGTCCAATGACGTGCCAGTCATAGAGGGCGTTCTAGAATGTTCCTGTCCCGAGCGTGCTGGTCGCTGATTGGCCACCGCGTGCGCGATGACCCCGCCGCGGAAACGTCTGGAATGTTCGGCCATCCATTGATTGGGCCGCACACGTGAGCAAAGCCACCACGCGTGCTCGGCGCTGCAGTGCGCGCCGGTCGGTTGTCCAACTTCGCGCGTGACTCACGTCGCCGACTTGGTCCTTTGTCTGGCGCCTTAGGCCGTGGCTCTACGCCGCTTTCGCTCTCCATAACACCTTCCGCTTTTGAAAGTTGGACCTCGTACCTCTTCTTCTTCGGGTCCAAGACCAGTTTCCTTGGCGGTTGCGTTCTTCTGCTACTTCTACGAACGACGGGTAATGTTGTCTGACTGTCTACCGTGGGGGTTGGAACCTCAAAGGTATCACACAACAAGTCGAGTGCCATTTGACTGTCTCTGATGTGTCTAGTCCTGAGCTGATTTGCATGCCTCTTTATTTTTCCAGCTGCTGTCTCCACCTCGAACACAACACCTCTGGATTTTCTTATTATACCTTCTATCCAGGGCTTCTCTCCGGCTTTGTAGTTGCGAGCAAACACCTCCTCTCCCTCGCGAAAGTAATGTTTTGTTGTTTGTGGAACTCGAGCTTCCGGTTGTAGGTACTGTAATCGCGTATCCGGCTGTCGTCCCAAAAACCGTTCGGCTGGTGTCTGGCCCCCAAGATCACTTTTTGGAGTTGTTCGATAGGCAAATAGGAATGTGTTGAGATACTCCAGTTTAACACCAGTGTTCCACATCTTTTTCATCGCTCTCTTGAACGTGTCGACGAACCGTTCTGCCTGGCCATTTGATTGTGGATGGAATGGTGGTGACGTCACATGTCGAATTCCCCATTTCTGACACAGTTGTTGGAAGATTGATGACGTGAACTGAGTGCCGTTATCCGTCACAATCTCCGTGGGGATGCCGTATCTCGCTATTAGTTCTTCCGTCTTCCTTACCGTGATATCAGCAGTAGCTGCCGAGACGTCGAAAACTTCTAGCCACTTGGACCATGCATCGACAACAATTAGAAACATTCGGTTGAAAAACGGACCCGCAAAGTCCATATGGACTCTACCCCAAGGTCTCGTTACCTCTGGCCATGGCACGGGCGGTACTTTCGGTGGGTTCTTAGCCTCACGTCCACACGGGCCGCAGCTTCGAACAAAAGATTCCACGTCGTTATCAATTCCCGGCCAATATACGTACTTGCGGGCCAGTTGTTTCATGCGGGTCATACCCTGATGTCCGGCATGGAGCTCCCGCAAAACTTGTTGCTGATATCTGGTTGGAATCACCACTTTACCATCGTACATTATGCAGTCTTCCGTGATATACAACTGTTCCTTTCTGTTCCTGAAAGGCTTTATCGATGGGTGTACTTTGTCGTCGCTGGGCCAACCGTTCCGAATAAACTCTCTCACCTGGCGCAAAAGTGGGTCTGCTGCAGTGGTGGTCCTGATGTGCTCGGCTGTGAGCGGCAACTGTCGGATGACACCTCTAAACTCGTCATCATCTTGCATTAGCGTACTGGCGACAACCACGTCTTCTTGATTTTCGTTGCTTGTACTCAGTCGTGATAAAGCGTCCGGAGCTCCAAACTTCTGAGTAGGCACATATTGGATCTGAAAGTCATAGTTTTGAAGAATAGTACTCCAACGTTGTATTCTCCTAGCTACGTTCTGGGGAACACCACGGTTAGTACACAAAAGGAACTTCAGTGGCTGATGATCAGTGTGCAGTGTGAAGGGTCTGCCATAAATAAACAGGTGGAAACTCTGTACGGCGAAGATAATGGCCAGTGCCTCCTTTTCAATCTGGCTATAATTCCGTTCTGCCTTCGTCAGTGACCTGGCGGCATGCATGATTGGCTGTACTCTCCCATCTGCGTCCTTCTGAAGGAGCACTCCGCCTAAACCGTAATCAGAGGCGTCTGCCTGGACAATGGTTTCTTTGTCAGCCTCGAAGTGCGATAGCATAGTTGAGTCGCATATCTTTGTCTTTATGGCATCAAATGCGTTTTGACATTCTGATGACCAAATAAACTCCACGTCCTTGCACAGAAGTCGGCTGAGTGGAGGTTTTAAACCGTGCAACCCAGTGATGAACGGACCGTAGTAGCTGACCAACCCCATAAACGATTGCAGCTCCTTCGTGTTCTTCGGCACTTTCATGTTCTGGAATGCCTTCACCCTCTCTGGGTCAGGGGCACGCCCATTCTCGTTGACTATGAACCCGAGATAGTGGATCTCCTTTCGCAAAAATTCACTTTTCTCCATATTGATCTTAAGGCCGTAGTCGATCAGATTGTCCACAACCTGGTCCAGCCTTTGAGTCAGCTCTTCCTCTGATCTACCGACAACCAAAATATCGTCCAGATATGCAATAGTCCCGGGAACATTTGTAAGCATCGTATCCATAATCTGCTGGAACACACTAGGCGCCGTTTTCACGCCGTAGTTTATGCGAGTGTATCTGAAGAGACCCTTATGCGTATTTATGGTCAAAAGCTCCTGTGATTTCTCGTCCACCTCAATTTGCAAGTAAGCTTCGGATAGATCGATCCTTGCAAAGACTTTCCCTCCATTTAGAGTAGCAAAAATCTGCTCTAAGGTTGGCAGTGGGTAATGATAATCTTCTAGTGCGTCGTTCAAGCCCGTTGAATAATCCGCACATAATCGTATTTGTCCGCTGGGTTTCTTCACCGCCACGACTGGAGCAGCCCAAGCTGAATAATTGGTAGGATAGATTATGCCCTTTGTCTGTAGTCTTTCTAGTTCAGCTTCTACGGACGACTGTACCGCAAACGGGACTCGTCGGCTCTGCTTGAAAACTGGCTTTTTCTCCGTCTTCACTTTCAAACTTATCTTCGTTTTCGTGCACCTGCCGGCCGCGTTCTCCATGCGTTCCATAAACTTATTCTTCAGGACCTCCTCAGTAGTGTTGTGCACCGCGCTGCAAATTTCGTCAAAGGGACGGTTCCACAATCCCAGTTCGGAGATCGTCTTATTTCCGAGAAGACTGTTACGGGTCTTCGACACATAGACATCTGCGAGGCAAGTCATGTTTCGAAAACTGACAGTCGCCTGGAAAACGCCTTCAAATTCCATACGCGTCTCGTTCGACGCCCACGCTATGATCTCTGATGGTGTCAGTTTTGGAGAACCGATGTCCTCCCATGTGCGCATGCTGATTATGGTCAAATCAGAAGCCGTGTCTACTTGTAATGTGATCGGCTTTTCGTTAATCTTCACTGTCAGGTATTTCCGGTGTTCACAGTTGAGTACATGCGAATCGTCTTCTAAAACGACATGGCAATTCTTTCTTGGGCTAGTGTGCGCTGCTCTGCAATGTGAAGCTTTATGGCCAACACGGGAACATTTGTAGCACTTCCTACTACGATAGGGACATTCACTCACGTAATGCCAGCCGCCGCACAGCCAACAAGCCGTCTTTGGCTTCCGTGGAGAATCTCTATTTGGTTGTGGTTGTCTCGATTTTGTGTCGAAAACGTAAACTGGCTGACTAGTTGTGCTTCCAATAAGCCGGGTGTCTTGCTTGATATTTGTGATTCGGACACATTCCTCTGCCAGTTCCTGTACTGTCATATCGCCTTTCTGGTCTAGCTGGGCGAGTAACCGCGTGCGCACATCTGCATCTTCTGGCAACGTCAACGACTTAATGAAGAATAGTGCTTTAATTTGTGTGCTGGTGGCCTGTTCTAGCTCGGCTTGTTGAAAAGTATCATTAACTCGACCGGCCAAGTCAAAATAGTCTTCTTCAGGCTTACGTTCTAGCTTGAAACATTCATAACGTCGATTGAATAACGACTTTGTAAAACAGAACAATGCTTTCAGATGCTTGACTGTGTCCTTAAACGAGACATCTGATGGTTTCTGAGGCAGAATGAACTTTACGTACCGCTCGTGTTCCCGCTGGGCCAGTTTTAGCAGAATGATTTCCACTTTCGTCTTGTCGTCCAGTTCTGCTCCCTTCTCTTCGAACAGTCCTTCGTACTTTCGAAACCAGGCTTCGAAATTTACGCCTCCCTCTGGATCGTAAACGAACTCGTTGATCCGTTGTTCGACCTGTTTCCTCTTGTTCTCTCTGGATGCCGGTCCCCAATTTCGTTGCATTTCCGTGAGTAATGCCATGAAGCTGGCCTGCTGGGCCTCCAGTATGTGCTTCATTTGTTCTTCTGATATCATTTTGCTGCACCTGCGTCGCCAGTTGTTATGACCCGTAAGGAAGGTAGGACAGGAAGAGAGCCGGTTCGGAGGACAAGCACTTTATTGGAACTTGCGGACAGGAGAGGGTTACAACTCGTAAGAAAGTGTGCTATTTATTGGCTCCCGTGCGTTCTGGAACATTCCGTCCAATGACGTGCCAGTCATAGAGGGCGTTCTAGAATGTTCCTGTCCCGAGCGTGCTGGTCGCTGATTGGCCACCGCGTGCGCGATGACCCCGCCGCGGAAACGTCTGGAATGTTCGGCCATCCATTGATTGGGCCGCACACGTGAGCAAAGCCACCACGCGTGCTCGGCGCTGCAGTGCGCGCCGGTCGGTTGTCCAACTTCGCGCGTGACTCACGTCGCCGACTTGGTCCTTTGTCTGGCGCCTTAGGCCGTGGCTCTACGCCGCTTTCGCTCTCCATAACACTTCTCAACGGTTCTAAGCAACGAGACCCTCATATGGGTGTAAGGAAGTTGTCGGTTCCTTTTCCGCTTGTAGAACCTTGCGATTGTAGCGCCCTTGAAACATGGCGGGACTTTTCCTTGGCGTCACACCGCCAGGAACGGTGTTTTAAATTCGTCCATCAGCTGGAGAACTTCATCTTAGTACAGAACCGCGTCGGATCACGGTGCTTTTCGCCAGACGCCTGGTACAAGACCCTGACTGCCTCTGAGAGGGAAGGCAGAAGCTCCAGATCGTTGATTGTTTTTGCTCCAGGGAGCAGGCCATTGGCGACGTCGGAGTTTGTGGATGGGCGGTTAAGGACGGCTCTGAAGTTCTCGACCCAACGCTTCAGAATCTGCGATTTCTAGGTGACTAGTTTTTATCCGTCCGAGCGGAGAAATGGCGCGGTTCCTTTGGCTGTGGGATCGTAGACCGTCTTGGTCGATTCGAAGAAATTCTTCGTTTCATTGCGATCCGCGCACCCTTGAATTTCTTTGGTCTTGCGATCCATCCAGGCTTCTTGCATCTCTAGCAACCGTTGTCGCACAGGGCGACAACATCTGAGAAAGTGGGTTATGTTTACGTAGGTACTCCATTTTATGAAGGCTTTTTGCAGTCTATTTTTCTTCGTAGCTATAGTCAAATCAGTCCTGATGTTCAATTATGAATAATTATCCCTAGGGTGGAGTCGAATAATGTCTTACCTGAGCACACCTCTTACCAAAGAAAATAGGCGCTTGGCATTAATACGATTTTGTACAGTCAGGACCGGGACCCCTCGTGGACACCCTATATGCAAAAGATGGGTGTGTATTCCCCCAGATCATCGTAATTATAAATGGGAGGAATGATTGGCATGTGCGGTCATCAACAGGACGAGCCTAAGAGAGATGGAGATCTCGAAGGTGTAATCATAGTTTTTATAACTGTGATATGGTGATGAATCTTAACACGTGCGTCCGACTCACGCTAATCATTCTTGCTTTTTTTACTTTCGAAGGCGGCTTCCCTAATCGATGGACCCTCGATGGAAATCAGTCTTGTATTTCAGCCCGCGGACTTTATAAACGCGCTCAAAAAGAAGCTCCAACAAACTTCCTCCTTTAAGAAATTTTTGACCTGACTCTTTACAACCTATCAATGCTTTTGGGCTTTCAGCACAATGTATATACCCTGGTTTCTACAGAAAAGAGTCACTTTCTGCAACATAATCCGCCTTGTCAAATCTTCCAATAAACAGACAACGTGATTTCTATTGTAATTGCTCCTTCTGCAATTGTCAACCTAGACTACAATGAGGGGAAGACGTGCGCATGTGGGAGCTTTGACCGTTATCTTCTTTCTTTACCAAGAAGTCGAAACTTTTTGACCTGTCCCATTAGACGGCTACAATGCAGGAATATGGGTCTACTTCAAGAAATTCAGCCAGTAAATTAGGTCGGAGAGATGGCTGTTGATAGTGAGGCTCCCGTGATAAAAAAATCCATGAACCCTATTCAGCCCGCCTGTTTCAACGCTGTGCCCTTCGTGAGTGCTTGCACGTGAGCACCAGTGGCAGTCTGGTCCTAGGCCAATCCCTGTTTTTCAAACCGGCCAGTCGTCTTCAAGGCCGCCTCAGACGTGGTCTCCCTCAGGGCGCTGTGACTCACTCCCCACTGTCACTTGGGCCGCCGCTCTCACGGCTGCCATCTTATTTCAACTGGTTCTCCAGTCTTTCCGTACAGAATACAGCACCCTCTTGACAGGCGTCAAAAAGTCTTTTTACTCGGGACCGGGCCTGAAGGCGGTAGTGGCTAGGTTCTGTCTATGACTTAAGCTGCCGCGTCATTGGCGGCCCCGACGCGATTCGGACACGCAACCGCCCTGCAGGGGGGCACCGAGTCATTGTCGAAACTTCGTCTTCCGTGTTTTCTCTATGGTTTTGGCTGTCGCGGCATTCATGAACCTGAAGTAGTCGACACAACTGTCTGATGTGCCTCGGTTCAATCGTCACGAAATTCCCCTTTAACCTCATCTTGTTGTTTTTTTTTCAAAGTCACTTATCGTGCCCAGAGATAGAAAAGCGCGGTTGCTGATGCCTTTTCATGAGTCAAGATAGAAGTCAACAAATAACCTTGACCCATCGAGTTCAGATCGTGGTTCCGATCAAATCTAACAGAGCAGTCCCTCCATTGGCGCCAGTACCCGGGCGTCCTTTCCAGTATCCCACATTTCGAACCCCCTAACACCAGTCATATCTCCTCGTCCAAATCAACAAATACCGACACGGCATATGGATTTACCGTCGACGTTCAACTCAACGGCCGGCTTTCTCCGGTCATCCCTATTATACTGACTCCTTATTGCGAACCGTAGCTGCTCAAGCTGCTGATTACGCTATTGTTGCATTTTTTCGCTCACTCAATTTGGCTATATTTCCTCTGATCCGAGTTCCGCCCGCATCGCGATCTCGGAAGGAAACAAACTGTTTTGAAGATCTTTTAACCAAACCTTTTAAGGCGGGATGTGTAGTCTATGGTGGGTAATGCGTCCCCGAATTACATATCAGAAGGAAAGGACGTAACAAATAACCTCTAAGGAGGCCGAATGTACTACCTGGCCCATGAGAATGTGCGGAGTGCTGACGAGCAAGTTTCTAGATAGCCGGCAGGAAGCGACAGTCAGCCGGGCCAAGCAGCAAACGAAAAAGTGGTTATTCGGTAGGGGGTCCGCGGGTGTGCCCAGAGAGATCGCGTTATCAACGGCAACGGGCGCGCGGTTTTGAAGTGAGGCGATCTCAAGAGTTTTGCATACAGTCATGAGGTTCGTTGACCCCCTGCCGCATCTAAGTTAGACGGACGGGGAAGTGAGTGGGACAAAGGCGCGGTGCTGTCCAGAAAAACATGAGTGACAAAAAGATTAGAAAAAGCACCTCACATACTGCCATTGGTTCCAGTGGGAGGGGTGGTTGAGGTAATGCTGGATGCCGAGAGGCGTGTGGATATGGGAGAGGGAGGGAGATGTGTTCGCTGTAGGAGACACAGGAGATGAAAGAGCAAAGGCTGTGGAGATGCGGCGGTCGACAACGCAAAGACCCCGAATCAAAATTCAGGGAGATAGAGTTGATTGGACAAATTTTACTGCGGCGAGAGCGTACACACAGCTCAGCAGGCAGCCCGTAACAAGCCGTCTCACCAGACAAATGCCAACCTTCGAGGTTTTTGGCCCGGGCGCGTAGAACGTGCGTCCGAGCAATCGACTGACAGGGAGGAATGGGTGGGCTGAGGGCGGCACGGGTGAGCGACAGCTCCAGTGACCATGGGAAGCGCACTGCTAGATATCCTTCGGCCAAGGAGGGCGGGGAGGGGCAAACGGTCGACACAGGCCAAACGGTAGAAGTGACCATCCAGCAACGGGACTAATACGGGGCTGAAGCTTGCAATAGGGTCGAAGACTACGTCTGGATTGGCCTTGCAACAGTAAACTTTACTCGTTGGCAGCTGAGATGCGCCCGAGTTCGAGCTCTGCGAGTATGGTGAATGTCTACAGTGAACTGGGAGACGCAGTTTGCCTTGTGGAAATCTCACGGATTGAAACCGCCTGAATGGGAACGGAAAACGAGAGGGAGGTTCATGAGCCGCGACTATGATGAAAGTGTGATTTTCAAGGAAACGTCGAATATGATGGTCAACCAAAAGGTGGCAAGTTCTCAGCCACATGGATTGTATGGGGTTTCAACACTGTCGTTAGCGAAAAATGGCGGGTATGTAGTCGAATCCAAGAGGTGATATCGGAGTATTGCACTAACACTCGGGTCGGAAACCGCCAGCATAATGGGGGTCAATTCTGCAATATCGTGAGGATATCTCAATCTATCCGGTAAAGACGGCTGAGATAGTTTGGGTACATTCTTTGTCGTTCACACCATGAGTTCCACACTGCAACCCGTGATGCGGCGTCGCTGCGTACCGGAAGGTACCGAATAGGTCAGTTCAAAACTTGGCACAGCACAGCCCGTCGTAACAACAAGTTGGGTATTAGGCTATCGGTATTCGGCCCAAGTTGATGAAGAAGGGAGTAAATTAAGCAGTATGCTAGTACCGACAAAGACAAATGAGACTGGAATGGTTATTTCTGGCTCATTAGCCGTCGTCGGCCAGTCATACCCAACACCGAAGTGTGGAACACCCGAGACTCGAACTCGCGACCTGTCAGTTAGAAGTCCACGCCTCTAACTACTGAGCCACGAGCCCGTTGCCCTGTCGGTTTTCGATCGGGAATATACAATGGACGACGACTAATAAGCCAGAAATGGACATTCCAGTCTCCCTTGTCTTTGTCGGTAATAACACACTGCCTATATCATGCGCCGCTGTGCGGCTGCTTGTTGGGCTCGAGAGAGAGCCCTTAAGGCACAACGGAACTAGCGAGTCACGTAAGAACTGTCGGTGAGTGCCCCTACCATTAGAGTAAATTATGCTCTCTAGATCTGCTGCCAAAGATCACCACATTGTGCAAAATCATTGAGAACGGCTAGATCGCACAGGATAACAGCACAGTGGTCCCTCCGAGGCTGCGGGGGTTGTGCTCGAGAATCCCCACGAAGAGCGAAACTCCGCGAAGTGGGAGCCGTATGCTCCTATTTATATTTCGATAAATTCCGGCCTTTATAAATCTCCCCGCATTCTAATTAACATTTCCCACACAGTTATACAGCCCAAACCCATCAGATATTCGGTGAGATTCGTTAAAATCATGTATATAAACACACAATGTCCGCAGAAATTCGCGGAAAACCCGCGGTATTTATTCAGATATGCTTGCATATGAAATCCTCAAAAGAGTGAAGCCGCGAGAGTCGAGGTGCGATATAGCTACTGTAATATCCAACACATGTGCAGGGTCTATCCTGGGAAAAATCTCCTTCCCTGATGCTCTGGAGCCCGATAACGGTCTGGGGTGGAGGCGCTTTTCAGCCCCGGTGATCAAGATAGGTAGATCCGCTCAACGGCATTTCGATTATCGCGATCTTAGCAGTCGCAGATTGGTCGGTGACTCCATATGATCTGCAAAGAAATTAGCAGGCACAAGATGACTGAGCCAAATTATTGGGGGACTGGTCACCCGGACGTTGTGAACCATGTACCGCGGGAATGTCGGTGTTGAAATTAACACCGTTTAAAGCAGGACCGGTCACTTGGGCCTCTCGAACGGGCCACACCAGAGAGAGAGGGAAGACTTTTGAAGACGGGAGGTCTTTGACGGAAACATCATTGGTATTTCCAAAAAATGATCCTCAGCAACCGACGGATCGATGCCAGAGGATAGGAATCAGGGTCGAAAATGGCGACTGGAGCAGAGTTTTTCACTTGCCGAAACAATGCAGTTACTGCAACGACGGTCAGTAGGGGTAGGAGGGATGACACCGAGCTGACAACCAGTGACAACGGGGAAAGGTCTGCAATTCCTGCTGCCAGGGAGGCAGGTGGGATCAACAGTTGGGCTGCCGGTTACATCAGTCTCGTTTGCCTTCGGGTCGATGAGCGACTTTCATTGGAGGTGACGGAGAAGCCGCGCACTTTGTCAGATGGTTAAACATCTGAGAACGGTGTGCACCCGCGGCGGATTCAGAAGCACATGTTAGACATGTAGCTTACATTGGTCGCCTGGCTACCTCGTTCACTGAAATACTGGCATTACAAATAATCATCAATTTGCTGCGCACGATGACTGAGAACGAACCTCGAATCAGAATCCGGGAAGACGGAATTTAGTGGACAACCCTCATCAAGACAGAGCGCAAAATTAGGCTCAAAACTGCGAGCATCCGGATGGACGGCAAGAACCAATAGTCATCGGAGCCAAGTATAAAAACGGAAATCACTTGCAATTGCAGTAGGTGGGCTAACTCAGGAAATCTCGACAGAAATCCCCAAATGCGTTTTCGTTTCGAAATGATTAATTAAGTAGGGTTGTAAAACCAATCATCGTACAGCATAAATTTATAATAATTCAGTTACCCCTGGACGCCGGCTTTCGAATAAAACTTCTTTCCGGCAGCATCTGAAAACCATACTCCTTAAAAATCACTACTTAATTAGCATGCATTTGTTCATTGATTTTCGACCCTCTCAAATATTCAAT